GAACGAACCTTGAACTTTGCAACTCGATTATCACAGGTAGACATTTTAGCTGGAAAGCGCAAGACTTGGTATTCGTAATAAAAATAAAATAAAACTAAGTACGAACAATCCAAACCATTAGACAAAATTCGAAGTCCTAAAAAAACGGTAAAGGCAAAATAGTGTAATAAGGCAAAATAGTGTAATCAGCATATGGACTGTTCACCGTGTACAAAATACACGACAAACAGTGGTAACAGATTCTATTAGTGAATCTGAGGGGTCCCCACCTGGGTTAGTAGCCAATCGAAATTAGTTTCTCAATATGCAGGGTATAACGTGAAGGGCTTGATAAGATGTTATGATAAGGGCTTGATAAGGAGTTAAAGATACATTAGTTAGGAGTTTAATAAAGAGTTGGCCATTCTTGCTTTAATAATTCAAAAATAGATGATAAAAAAGAAAATATTGAAAATTTCAGTCAAATTATTTAATTCTGAACAAAGTTGTCACTGTTGGAAAACCTGGACTAGAAATAGGCATCAACTGTCTCCACACCGTCTCCGAGAATTGCCGATCGTTTGATTGACAGACGATAACTCCACCCACATATTCTCGATTATCAAGTAACATTCTCAATGACTATGGTATCATCGACAGTCTCCGATAGTGACTTCAGTGATAACGGTAAACGTTAGCTTGGTCAGTCATTTATTAATTGATTTAATTATTAAGTGGATGACTGTTGAAAAAAACCATGCTATATCCAACCCATCCGAGGGTCTACCGTGTTGATTTTCAGCTTGTCATGTAAATAAAGGTCTAAGTAATAATTTCTATAACGTCTGAAGCCTAAAGAATGACTTGTAATAGGCAGAATTAGCTCTTAACTAATGTATCTTTAAAGCGAGACCAAGCCTTCTATTGGAGATGTTGTATTGCGTGACAAGTAAATATGCTTTATTGGGACACGGATTGTCTGCTGCTGTCTGATCTATGGTTGATCTAACGTGATTATCAACACGGATTATAGTTCTGTCTCTGTTATTCTCCCAGTTGTCAAGTAGATTAACTACATTATCTCCTAACTATGTCTATTGTAGGTCTTTCGTTGGCTTCAAATTTGTTCTTGGACATTTGTCATGCTTTGAGAGTATGTTCACAGATGAAAAACTTATCACCGCAACAGAACCACTGAGCTGCACATGCGACATGCAATAGCGCCATACACGTGCGAGGGGTTCATCGTCAAATTTGACACTTTAAGGAAGAGTTGATGAAAACTGCCGCGTGTTGGTTTATCTATCAATGTTTGCTTTTCTATCGGTTCTTGCATAAGATTTACTGTTTAGCGTATCCTTGCTTTAGTGTGTTACGCTTAATTTGATCGGGAGACGTGTTCGTCGACGTCAACGTCAACACTGCAAGAATTGGCCGTGGTACTGCAAGAGGAGAGGGTCAGATTGCCCAAAATCGTGATTGGACGGTTGATTAGGAGCATGCCACGACGAATTGCTGAATGTCTGAGGATTGGTGGAGCAATTACTCATTATTAAGATAAAAATCAAAAACGTCCATTTTCAATTTTGACAGTGTATCACTTTGCGAGTGAAATGGGGCCGTCAGCCCATATGAACTGTTTATGTTTATGTGTAGGTAATTGGTCTGTTATAAACATACACTGGTAAAAACAGCTGTGCAATTCCGCAGTTTTGTATTGTTTCTGAATATTCCCTACTTTTTTTTTAAGAGTATTATTATTTAGACAATTGAGGGGAGGGGGCGGAGGGACATTGTTAGCGCGTGCACATTGTATCATATGGTCTGGCATTAAGTCAACTGGCGTGGTTTCGACTCCCCGGTCGTACGTGACAAGGAGTAGTTTGTAAATAGAATCGACAGAATTATATTTTTTATCTATTCTTACTGGTGGATAAGACAGAAAAAAAATAGACCCCCCCCCCCAAAAAAAAAAAACAACCCTAATTGATAAAGTTCCATAGGCATAGTTGAAAACTAATAAATACACATACACACACTCCACCCCCTCTCTAGTTGTACAGGACGGGAATCCTGGCAAGGCACATCGACTAGTCGGTCGGAAACGCCGAGGTAACGTGTGCACGTCAAAAAACCTTTGGCAGTTGGAATCCATAATACTACGAGAAGGCCACAGCGCCGCTGTCCGGGCAGTGTCCCATATAGCTCACTGCATGACGTATTCCCGTCTTCATTAGAAAAGTAGGTGCAGAACAATAGGACGTTAAGATTCCATTTCATTTCATTTAGACTACGAGTAGAGCCAACCGTGAGAAGTTAAAACCCATTTCATCCGTCATCACACACATATCCCCGGGTTCCACTCTATTATGTTGGCTGGAAAATTCTGGACAAAATTTATCACATATGCGTCTCAATTACCTTAATATAAAAGATGCCCTTGGTAATGCAATTTCTTTGTTTCTCGTTCTGATTTATCATGTTGGAAAAATACTTACGTTAAAATATTTCGAGTCAAACATAAAAAATTAAATTTAATAGAGAAGACATTTACTGAATGGGAAATAATTTTAAATAACCATGATGCATTAAACATTAAGACATTTAAAATCGCATTTCATTTATTTATTTATGGTAACAAAAGCCTTGTATTCGTAAAGATGGCTTGCCAGCCAGCGAAACATACGCCCACATCAGCTAAATCGTCCGGGCGGTGTACATGGGTTGCCGCTTATTTATTCTTTTGTACATGTAGGTATGGGGAAGGGGGGCAACTACACGACAATTTCATACGGGGTCCTGTTTCTCGTACTCTTAACGAAAGATAAAATCCAAATTTTAGTAGATACTTCAATTTTGATTGGCCAAGCACTAAAATCAATCTAATATTATCCAATCAAATTACTAAAATTTGGATTTTATCTTAGTTAGAATTTCGTGAAACAGGCCCCAGATCAGATTACAACTTTCGTGGTTTGAGGGTTTACAAGGTTTAACAAACTGAATAAAGGGCCTTAACTCTAGAAGTAATTTACACAAACTGCTGAAACGCAAATGGCTTCTTTGTTTCAACAATTTAAATGATGCACAAATATTTCACACAGATCGGATGATAACTTTTGTCATTTAAGCGTTCACAAGGTTCAGCAAAGTTAAACAAGGACCATAACTCTAGACATAAATAACGGAATTGTTGAAATTCAATAGGATTCTCCGTTTTACCAATTTAAATAATGCATATAAATTTCATACAGATCAGATTATAACGTTTTTCGTCAAAGCGCTCACAAGGTTCGACAAGGGCGATAACTTTAGACGTAATTAACGAAACTTGACAAAATTCAACCGACTGATCATTCACAATGTTTAGTAGAGGGAAACGCGTAAAGTTCCTCTAGCAGTAATAAACGGAAATTGCTGAAATTCCCTAGGCGTCTTCGTTTGACTAATTTAAATGATGCATATACATTTCATACAAAACAGACGATAAATGTTGTCGTTCAACTGTTTGCAATGATCAACAGGGTGAAATAAGGGCCATAACTCTAGAAGTAGCTAACGGAAATTGCTGAAATTCAACAGGGTTCTTCATTTCGCTAACTTAAATGATGCATATACATTTCATGCAGATCAGATAACTTTTGTCGTTAGAGTTCACAAGGTGCAACACAGTGAAACAAGGGCCATAACTCCAGAACAAAATAACGGAAATTATTGAAATTAAACAGGCTTCTTCATCTCACTAATGTTAACAACATAATATCAATTTCAGTTGATAAATGTAGTCTGTAGAGTGTTCGCAAGAAATTGTGGGCGACGGGTGGACGGAGGCGACGGCAATATACAACTGTGGGCGTATATTTACTGTTTCATGGCGTGTAAATCCTTGCTAACTAGAACATTATTTACAGGGCGTTATCTTGTTGTCGCAATGTGATCCTATCTAACAAGAGCATTGTTTTACAGGGCGTTATCATGTTGTCGCAATGTTATCCTATGTATTTAAATTATTATTTACAAGGCGTTATCGTGTTGTCGCAATGTCATCCTATGTAACTACATCATTATTTACAGTGCGTGAATATGTCGCAATGTGATCCTATGTATGGGCGTTATCGTGTTGTCGCAATGTGATCCTATGTAACTATAACATTATTTACAAGGGGTTAGCAGGTTGTCGCAATGTAATCCTCGGGCACATGAGCACTACTTACACGGTGTTAACAGGTTGTCGCAGTGTGATCCTTGGAAACTTGAGAACTACTTACAGGGGGTTAACAGGTTGACTTAGTGTGATCCTCGGAAACTTGAGCACTACTTACAGGGAATTAACAGCTTGTCGCAGTGTGATCCTCGGAAACTTGAGCATTATTTACAGGGAGTTAACAGGTTGTCGCAGTGTGATCCTTGGGAACTTGAGCACCACTTACACGGAGTTAACAGGTTGTCGCAGTATGATCCTAGGGAACTATCTATAGCATCAGCAGGTCATGGCAGTGTGAGCATTATTTACAGGGAGTTAAAAGGTTGTCGCAATGTAATCCTATGTCAGTACAGCATTATTAACAGGGCGTTGACAGGTGATTCTAGCGAACTATCTAGAGCATTATTGACTGGGCATCAGCAGTGTGATCGCCACTAACAAGACGATCGAGCCCAGCAGCAAATGGACTGATAACACTAAGCTGTGGAATCATCTGAAGCTACATGCAGTAGATCGAATGTTAGCGAGTGGGATACAATGACGTAGGTGATTATGTAAACAGGTCACAATTCTATGGAATACAATTACTGCTTTTTACTGAGCGACGTTTCGACTAGGCTTCTCTAGTCATTATCAAGCTATGATAAAAATTAAAATATGACAGGACAATATAGGTGATTATGGTTGTCTTTCTAAATGCATTGTTCGAAACTTTCAATAAAATTTTGTAGATAATAAACTCAATAGAAAAGTAAGACGCCAACTTATACCCTTGTGTTATACCAGTTTTAGTCTGACGGATATAAAGAGTCCTAAATATTGGTATAACTTTATTGTTTAATATAAAAAAAAAAAAAATACATTTTAGCACTGAATTACTTTGTGTAGACATTCATTTAGCAAAGGTTGGTCTTTCAACAAATATCCATTCTTTTTTCCCCCTTTGAGTATCCTGTTTTTTTAAAAAATAATTAATCTCCATACAACATAGCGTGAACAGTACTAAAGACTCCATCCGGCATTTCATTTTTTACAAGAGAAAAACTGCGCCGTGACATTTCAATAAGTTTCTGGTTTTCAGAAAGCATCATTTCACCATACAAATACACTCCCATAGACTGTAAAAAATTTAATAACAATTAAGGTACATAAGTAGATATTGTTGTTCTTGTTTTCTCAAAGGTGTTATAAAAGTTTATCTATTGTAACCTGGCGCCAGGTAAATGCCAACATATTTAGTATGTCTTTATATACTCTTAGTTGAATAGAAACAAAAACAGATTAACAAGGTATACAGACAAATATTAACGTGTTTAACATTGTGATAAACATTTAGTTAAATATATAAAAAAAACAAGATTCATAAGTGTGGCAGTTTTTATAAATGTTCAGTCATTTAAAGATACATTTTGTAAGATTTAGATAAAGAGCTAGCTATTCTTGCTATAATAGTTCGAAAATAGATAATGTAAAATTATTGATTTGAAAATGTCATTCAAATTACTCTATTAAAAGAAAATATATTAGCCTTTGAGGGTTTGACAAGACGTGTGCAATAATTTCAACCACCGTACTGGTTGTTCGAAGCTAAGTCTCGCTCTTCCATTTTTAAATTAAATCAAAATGAGGCTGAACTTTTCTAATCTATTTAATATCGGAGAAATCCGATGCCATCGAGAGTTGATTATGGCCTGTATCAGTTAATTAATGTCTAATTAATAATTTAGATAACATTTAAGACCTAAAGAAAGACCTGCAATGGGCAGATTTAGCTCTAGGTCATTTCGGGACTGACATTTGGTTCATTTTTATTTCCATAATTCGCTTGCGCGTAGGGTCTTTAGCAGTGGGAGGAAACCAAAGTGTCCAGAGAAGGCCCACGACGTTGTACAGGCGACCCTACTCCTTGTCTCGTACAAGCTGGGAATCGAAACCACGCCACTTGACTCAATGACAAACCTTGGCCACACAACCCCCTTGCACACAGAAGAACCCTTTACTGTTAGAATTCGATATAAGAGTAGGCCATATCACCACTGTCCAGGCAAAATTTCCTCATAGTACACTGTATGGCATATGCCTGTGCTTATTATCCTGGTCGGAACAGAATATAGAGACGTTAAACTCCATTTTATTTAAATGAAATGAAATGGGGTTTAACGTCCTACTGTTTTGCTCCGAACTGGGCTAATGAAGACGGACATACGCCATACAGTGTGTTATGAGGGAAATTTTGCCCGGACAGCGGCACTACGGCCTACTCTTATATCGAATTCCAACTGTCAAGGGATCTTTTACGTGCCCGCCAATGTGTAAACTGGACCTCGGTTTTTCGTATCACCCGAATGACTAGACAGCTGTCCTTGTCAAGCCCTCCGTCCTGCAACATTGACAAGGGGGAACCACGCCAGAAAATCTGGGTGAACTTTCTCGGGTAATTAAGGGATCGAACACCCGACCTCCAGGCTAGCATTTTATTTAAATCTATCGATCTAACATCGTATCATCCATCAATCTCAATAATTCCTCACCTCTGATTATTTACCTAACCACACATTAAAACCTCAACCCATTGTTACGCTATTTTATCACCCCTCGTTATCCTTATTAATTTACATTCATTGAGTGTAAAAATATAAAAACATAAAAAACCTCTAGTAAAGAATAAAGCGCATTATTAGCAGAACATATTACTACGATGCAATCGTTTAATAAGAAAACCATTTTATAATATCACCTAATAGTCCCGTGGGTGTATTTGATAAAGTATATCGCGATAATTACAATCAAACAAAGTGTGTAATATGTTTTAAATACGATGGAACTAAACGTAAGTCATGTTTGATCACTCAAATTAACGATGGTACGTGTGTTTAATTAAAAACAGAAATAGTAATATTATATGGGGATATTATTAGATAGTACAAATAGTGATACATTACCACATTTCAACTTTATTGACGTTTATTCAAATGTTTTGAGTTATTATGTCTATCGCCCAAATGATATTCTTTTGTTTTATCATGTATTTTTATCCCCACCCACCTTAAACAAATAACCAAAAAACAACAAAACATTTCGGGTATATCAAACAATACAAATAGTGCATTATTCCATTTCGATTTTATTGACGTTTATTCAAACGTTTTGAGTTATTATGTCTATCGCCTCTTTGGTTTTACCATGTATTTTTATCCCTATCCCCACTTAAACAAACAACCAAAAACTACAAAACATTTAGAGTATATTAAACAATACAAATAATCATTATTCTATTTCAACTTTATTGACCTTTATTCAAACGTTTAGTATTTTGAGTTACTATTTCTATCACCCAAATGATGCGCGTTTGTTCTATAGTGCACAATGTAAACACATACCATGTATTTTTACCCCCCCCCCCCCCCAAACAAACAACCAAAAAACAACAATACATATGGGTATATTAAACTATACAAATAGTGCATTATCCCATTTCAACTTTATTGACTTTTACCCAAACACTTTTTGCGTGGTAATTTAAAATGAATTCACTATTTTGAGTTAATAATTATCATGGCGGTTGGATGGACGAATGGGTAGCGCGTACGCTTTGTATCATAATGTGTATCTTTGAGTCAACTGGCGTGGTTACTTTAGGCCTGAAATGCTATGTAAATTATTAATTAACTTATCCAGACCATAATCAACTCTCGATGTCATCGATAGCCTGAGATATTTACTGGATTTGAATTCGATTTGCTGCTCAACCTCATTGATGATTTAATCCAAAAATGGATAATTAATCGAAACTATGTTTTTTATCGTAACAACTTTAATAATGATGTTCGAGGCTAAAATCTCGGTTCAAAGTGGAAATTTGACTGAAATTTTCCACAAATTGCCTTTACATTATCTAGTTTTTTACTATTATAATGAGAACAGCCAGCTCTTTATCTAATCTCCGATAATGGCCCTTTAAACACAACGAATATGTTTCAGCATGCGTTCTAGCCCAAATTCCCGTTTTTACTCTATTGTCACTATTTTTGGGTTTGACAGAATTCAATTCCTGAACGTTCAATCGAGCATCACGACAGTCTCTTGTTTGTATAGATCTTGTTCCGAGTTCACAAAGCATTCTCAGACTTAAGTTAAGAATTTACTCAACTTTCAAAGGATCTTTTACGTGCACGCCAATGTGTATACGGGATCTCGGTTTTTCGTCCCATCTGAAAGAGTAGACAGCTGTCCTTGTCAGGCCCTCTGTCCTGCTTCAATCACAGGGGGGAACCACGCCGGAAAATCTGGATGAACTCTCTCGGTCAATGCAGGGATCGAAATTGAGACCTCCAGGCTAGCGAGCAAGCGTCTTACCCACCCAGCCACCGTGATCCCCCAATCACTGTTTATGAGAAATATCTTTGATCCAGAAACACAAAACTTTGCACATAGTTTCTTATTGATGTATTTGATACATTAAAACTATAAAAAGTTTTATAAATGGCTATTCGTTATTTACAATATGGCGAACAGTTTTGAACAAATTCTTACCTTTAATCTGAGAATGCTCTGTGAGCCCGGGGCCTTACCTGGTGTTGTTTGAAGTCCGAGAATGCTCTGTGAACTCGGGGCCTTACCTGGTGTTGTTTGAAGTCCGAGAATGCTCTGTGAACTCGGGGCCTTACCTGGTGTTGTTTGAAGTCCGAGAATGCTCTGTGAACTCGGGGCCTTACCTCGTGTTTCTTTTAAGTCCGAGAATGCTTTTAGAACTCAGGGCCTTACCTGGTGTTGTTTTAGGAACCGCTCAATCTCAGGAAAATATTTGGTGTATTTATGTTTTATTATAAGTTCACACATTCGATGATATACCTTTAAATAAATAATAAATAAATAGAGAGAGAGAGAAATGGGGTTTAACGTCCACTAGACACAAACTAGGTCATTTCGGGACTAACATGTGGTTTAATTTTATTTTAATAATTCGCTTGCGCGTAAGGGTCTTAAACAGTGGGAGGAAACCGGAAGACCCAGAGAAAACCCACGAGGTTGGACAGACGACCCTACCCCTTGTCACGTACAACCGGGGAATCGAAACCACGCCAGCTGACTCAATGACAGACTTTATGATACAGCGCGCACACGCTAACCATTCAGCCATCCAATCCGCCATACCTTTAAATATATATTAAAATTATGGAGAGGGGTTACACACAATCTGATTAAACCACAGATCCTATTTCGTTTCGTTTTTTATATTTCAAAATTTCGTTTTATTTGTCTTTACTACACTAGGATCTGGAAGCTAAGAGTTGTTATATAACCTGCATTCTGGATGATGTAAGGGATGATGTGTCGTCAGTCTTCAGTTAAGTCAGTCTGATTAAACACAGATCCTATTTCGTTTCGTTTTCTATAGTTCAAAATTTCGTTTTACTTGTCTTTACTACACTAGGATCTGGAAGAGTTGTTATATAACCTGTGTTTCGTTCTTTTTTATACTTTCGATGGCCTTACACTATATAAAGATCTGACCGGTTGTAATTAAACGTCGAGTCAGGGGGTCACACGAGCGGCTTTTGACCCTATGACACCAGACATTGATTAATCAATCAGCGTTGACGTTTCTAGTGGTTTACCTACCGTTCTGTGCACCGCACGCCAAGAACTTGCCGTAACAGACTGTTTCATTAATTAATCCCTCACATTAACCAGAACGCGGCTTATATAACAACTCTTCGAGATCCTAGTGTTGTGAAGACAAGTAAAACAAAATTTTGAACTATAAAAAAACGAAACGAAATAGGATCTGTGTTTTAATCAGATTTGAAGCATTTCTACCGCCTTGTTCGCAATATAATCGGTACAAATGAACTCAAGACAACTTATTTTAATATCAAACATCACAAATTGTTATAAATACCTCTGCATTAGTTGAATCTATATTGTATTGTTGACGTAGACAGGTAAACACATTCTCAGGTAAATTGTCTTTATTTAATAATTCTTCTAATAATAGAACTTTCTGATCGGCATTTAGCTATATAAATAGAAAAAGTTATCGTGTAAAATGCACATTCGGTCATTGCTACCATTAAACTGTAAAACGCATTAGGAACTTTATTGAAGTATTGTGTTGGCTGATTGATTGATTGATTGATTGATTGGTTAAAACAACAGGAAATAGAATATCGTTTGTTATTTATAGTTATGCTAGGTTTCCACCGTAATGCCCCCGTCAGACCGGGCTGGCGTCCTTACTGCGCTGCTGCGACCGTACGGCGACCAGAAAATGCACAAGGTCGCCGGCAAACGCGAACACAACGGACGAAAATGTCCCAAAATATTACAAACTGGAAAAAAATTCGTATTCTCATAGCTTTCCAGTTTAGATCGCAGAACCTTGGCGTTTGTTTTGAACATGCCCAAAATAAACGCCGTGACTCGGCGATCATTGGCGACCATGGGGACCACAGCACGATAGCTGGTGTTTCCACCACGCTTATGGCGATCTTAACGCGCTTTAAAACCATTTTCCATCGCCGTAGCCGCGAAGTAAGGACGCCACCCCGGTCTGACGGGGGTATCACGATTCGCGTTACGATTGAAATCGTGGTTTTAATCGTGGTTTTAATCGTGGTGATCCTATCAGGTCTTATCGGCACGTACCAGATCGTAGAATCATTAGAGACTTTTGGCAAGCTGAATTTTTCCCATCCGTACAGTATACGTGATACGTTGTGTCAATTATGGCAAGCCAAAGCGGAATTAATTGCAAGACCGTTTTTCTGCATGGAAAGAGAAAAAATCGAGTATATAACAATTTTTTCATCACCTTCCAAGCATTTTTTTTCTGTACAAAACGACGTATAAAGATTCAATAAAGATTATGTTTTTCCATTGCTGCTCTTGTATTTTGTTATAGTCAAGTCAATTTATACTGTTCATGGAAATAATTTACCACTATATTCGGTTTTTATAAACAACTCAACAAAATTATTTTGCACATGTCAAGACAAAAAAAAATTCACATGTCAAGACGGAAAAATTCACATGTCAAGACGAAAAAAAAAATCACATATCACGAGCACGTGACCTTTCAAGACCACGTGACCCTTCAAGAGCACGTGACCACAAAAACCAATGACGTCACTGCAAATGGGGGTTCTGAAGGATACGAGACACAACGTCTCTTATCTCATTTGAGGACCCAGCTGTTCTGTGCCGAAGATCCCTAAGTAAATCGTCAAAATTTGACGAAACGATCAACTTATCGTCTGACGGCCCCGACATTTTTTTCTTCCCACAAAGTTGATGACGTCATCGGTTTTTGGGGTCACGTGCCCTTGAAGGGTCACGTGCTCGTGATATATGATTTTTTCCGTCTTGACATGTGAATTTTTTAGTGTTGACATATGAATTTTTTCGTCTTGACATGTGTATTTTTTTGTCTTGACATGTGAAAAATAATTTTGTTAAATTGTTTATAAAAACCGAATATAGTGATAAAATATTTCTGTGAACAGTATAATTGACTTGACTATAACAAAATACAAGAGCAGCAGTGGAAAAAATAATCTTTATTGATTTACGTCGTTTTGTACAGAAAAAAATGCGTGGAAGATGATGAAAAAATTGTTATATACTCGATTTTTTCTCTTTCCATGCAGAAAAACGGTCTTGCAATTAATTCCGCTTTGGCTTGCCATAGTCAATGCAGTTTATGAGTTTTGGCAGATTTTCGCATCGCCTGCATATGCATAGCTGAGCTGAGCATAGTTCTATTACAGCATGATGGCAGATATCTACCAAGATCACCATCAGTACTAGTCACTAGTCTAGTGCCTAGCCTACAGTCGGTAAACTTTTTTATGTCGAATCTTATTAAAAATCCTCGACTTCGACTCGACAGCAATTTTTGGTTTCACTGATGTATCATTTCAGAAAGTTTACATTTGCAAGGTTCCACCTCCTTAAATATACAAAGTAGATCAACCAGCATGGAGAAAGACAGAAAAAGTATGAAAATCCCGAGAAAAACCCATCAAAAATTATGATTAAATTCCAGTCTTAAAACCACACAAAATATACACATTCGTGTGTAGATTCATAAAAACGCCTTGATACAAAATTTCAGCCTCTAAAAATAGCAAAAAAGGCGGTAAAAAGACGACAATGTTATACGGACCTTTTCCGTATGAAAGCTGTTCGATACGTGTTGCCGTATCCGTGTGCCGTATCACGTATGAGAAATACACGTCACACACAAATTCCATACGGATTTACGCTTGCCAAAAGTCTCTAATAGGGATTATCCCATCGTAACGCATCGCACGACAGTGGGAACCTAGCATTATCTAAATCTAATAAATTGTCGTTTAAAATGAACATTCGGCCATTCCCACCTTTCACACAATAAGAGGGAGAGGGGACGTTAAACCCCATCTCTCTCTCTCTCTCTCCCTCTCTCTCTCTCTCTCTCTCTCTCTCTCTCTCTCTCTCTCATTATTGTAATTAAACTATTTAAAAAACAAAAAATAAAATAAAAAAGAAACAAACAAATGCTATAATTCAGACAATAAGAGATAAAATCCCAATCTGCTATTTTACACTTAATCAGTATAATAAAATAAAAGCTTTAAAACTTTTTATTTGCACAACATTGATCAGGCATTTCTTTTATTTTATCTTTTCTTTTAAAAAAAAGAAATAAAATCTACAAATGCAATAAAAAAAAAATAATAAAATTATCCCGTCAACCTAACACGGTTATTGAGAATGAATTGAAGTCGTTTAAATGAAATACAACCTCGTGAGTCTCGCTGGTCACATCAATTTTCCTTTTTTTATTGGACTTTTTAGAAACATGTCGACACGTGGAATAAATATTCTCTATCTGAAAACAAAAGAAGAAAAAAAAAAACCGAACGTAGCCATTGTTTATTATCAATTCCTAAGGGAGAGAATTAGCTTTACCTAGTATTTTTTTTTTCAATTTGTCATCTTTTTTTTCCCTGGCACTATGCATCAGTTTTACCAGATTTCAGTGTGGGCGTATTGTGTCGTCACGTTGATCAACAGCTCTTCTATGAACGTTGGCGGATCTTTTTCAAATTTGGTGTGCAGTATTGTGGTCATGAGATGACGAACCCTATGGTTTCGCGACCACCCACACTTGAGTTATCCCCCCCCCCCGCCATTTCCGAACAGAGACTACACTTTTTAACTGTCTGTATGGGAGTTTTCCCCCTTTGTCGAAAACTTTGTGAACTCGATAGACACTACAGTTTCAACAGATATTTTTTTTTTTTCAAATTCAATAACAAGCATTGGGGTCATTAGATGATGAACCATATATTTACGTGGCTAAGTGGGTAAGACGCTGGATCGCTAGCCTGGAGGTAGGATGTTCGATCCCTGCATTGGCCGAGAAAGTTCATCCAGATTTTCCGGCCTGGTTCCCCCTTGTCAGTGATGCAGGACGGAGGGCCTGACAAGGACAGTTGTCTAGTCCTTCGGATGAGACGAAAAACCGAGGTCCCGTGTATACATTGGAATGCACGTAAAAGATCCCTTGGCAGTTGGAATTCGATATAAGAGTAGGCAATAGTGCCGCTGCCCGGACAAAATTTCCCTCATAGCACACTGTATGGCGTATGCCCGTCTTCATTAGCCCATCATAGGAGCAGAACAGTAGGACGTTAAACCCCATTTCATTTCATTTCATTTCATTTTAAATAATCGTAGGAACATGTCCTTTAAATAATAATTGAAACCTATATTTCCTGCTATTCTCCTTTAAATAATCATAGAAACCTGTATGTCCTGCTATTCTCCTTTAAATAATCATAGAAACCTGTATATCCTGCTATTCTCCTTTAAATAATCATAGAAACCTGTATGTCCCGCTATTCTCCTTCAAATAATCATAGAAACCTATATTTCCTACTATTCTCCTTTAATTAATCATTGAAATCTATATTTACTCCTATTCTCCTTTAATTAATCATTGAAACCTGTATTTCCTGCTATTCTCCTTTAAATAATCATAGAAACCTATATGTCCTGCTATTCTCCTTTAAATAATCATTGAAACCTGTATGTCCCGCTGTTCTCCTTTAAATAATCATAGAAACCTATATTTCCTACTGTTCTCCTTTAATTAATCATTGAATTCGGTCAGATGTAATATTCAGGACAAGGGCAATAGCCTTTCAAGAGCGTGTTTCAGGGGTAACGATATGGACTTTCGATTTTCTTACATGTTCCGGAATTATATCCACGTGTTTATAATACAAGACAATGGTAGAATAGTTATTGTCAGATCTTTATCGAGTGTAACAAATTCAACATGGACTAGTTTTCTCCCCATATTAAATATAATGAAATAGTTCAACTATATAAATCAATGTGCTTGGTAGCATGCGATGGGCAATGAATTTGTCAATTTTAATTGTCAATTTTAATTACAAAAATGTCCAGGTTTGTGCAAGCAAATGTAGCCGATGCAAAAAATATGTCAAAACAAAAAAGAATCTTGTATTTAGTCTGGAATTTACAAAGTCAAACATAAAAAACTCCATTGAAATAATAAAAAAAAAATCCTAAAGCTATTATCGATTATTTTATAGGGTGATATTACTGTCACCAGGGGATGTAATTAAATTTGAATTATTTTATATTCGTTGTAGCCGAAATGGGCACAATTGAGATTGGCTTGATCGAGACAGCTTAGGGGAGAGAGAGAGAGAGAGAGAGAGAGAGAGAGAGAGAAATGGGGTTTAACGTCCACTCGACACAAACTAGGTCATTTCGGGACTAACATATGGTTTAATTTTATTTACATAATTCGCTTGAGCGTAGGGGTCTTTAGCAGTGGGAGAAAACCGGAGGACCCGTAGAAAACCCACGAGGTTTGACAGGCGACCCTACTCCTTGCCACGTACAACCGGGGATTCGAAACCACGCCAGTCGACTCAATGACAGACGTTATGATACAGCGCGCGCACGCTAACCATTCAGCCATCCAACCCCCCAGACAGCTTCGGCAGGAACTACATTATGTGTTATATATTAAATCGTCGTGGTTCGTTACAAGGAGGGAGCCACGGTGGCTAGGAGGGTAAGGCGCTGGCTCGCTAGCCTGGAGGTCGGGTGTTCGATCCCTGCATTGGCCGAGAAAGTTCATCCCGATTTTCCGACGTGGTTTCCCCTTGTCAGTGATGCAGGACGGAGGGCCTGACAAGGACAGCTGTCTAGTCCTTCGGATGAGACAAAAAACCGAGGTCCCATGTAAACATTGGAATGCACGTAAAAGATCCCTTGGTAGTTGGAATTCGATATAAGAGTAGGCGATAGTGCCGCTGCCCGGGCAAAATTCCCCTCATAGCACACTGTATGGCGTATGCCCGTCTTCATTAGCCCAGTATAGGAGCAGAACAGTAGGACGTTAAACCCCATTTCATTTCATTTCGTTACAAGGGTTGCCTGCCTAACCGCGAGGGTTTATTTTATATATCTCCCCCAAATTCTTAAACCTAACCCTAATTATAAACCTTGGACCTAGCCCCAATGCTTACCAAAACACTAACCTACAATCTCGCAAACAATCACGTGCCCTAGCCTAACATCTCAGCAACCTTGACAAAAATTGAGCTGGTCTTAACAAATAGATTTAACCGTCCCTACAGTATGATTGTAATTGTTATATCATTAGGGTTACAGCATGGGCGTCACACATGGGGGGGGGGGGGGTCTGAATATACTTCCCACCCCCAATTTACATAGTAGGCCCAAACACCTATTTATTTACAACAATTATTAGGATTAGTTAAGATTCTATCTGTATAAAACCTGTACATATCCCAATATGGTTTACATTGCTAAAATAAAACACAGAGAGAATCATCCTGGAAACGTGTGAAGTGAAAATAAAATTGTGTCTAGTTAGCCTGTCAGAAATATTTTGTTAATTGTTTTCTGCCACTTATCAGAGTGAATCGCATGTAGGTACCCAAAAACATTATCGCCTAAACCAAATATTTATCGCCCGCTCAGTCACCCACGTAACAATAATACTTTGTACGCGGTGTCTCGGCCAATGAGCAAACGAGTTGTGTAGACAGCATGGCCACATGGTGTTTGTTTATATTTTTTAGCGGTTTTAAAAAAGGGTTAGGGTTAGGGCTGCGCACCCCCCCCCTCCCAATATATATTTCACGGCTACGCCTCTGTTACAGAACCACGATAACTCTGGAATCTCGTCTAGTTTCATCTAAATGTCACCTGTACCTGGTGTTGTCAGAATATCTAACTTGGTAGCAAGTTTAACATTCTGAGTCGAAATAATGGGGATCGAGTACAGATATAAGCATTAAGTTGCTTGTTACTGTATCCAATTTATTCATATTATCCCTTCATGGTTGTATATAAGAATTCTGAATAAATACTTTTTTTTAAATCATTAAGATCTAAATCAACTATTTGCTAACTAGTTACTATACTTGTAACGTTAAACTGTGTGTTTAACGTTACAACTGATACAGTCTAAGACTCCTTACGCAAGTTCAAATAGGTTCAAACGCACAATTGTCAACACATATTACAGTTTGTATTGGAAAAAGTAATTCTATGACAAATAGTGAAGACTGGACCACTAAAATAGTTACCGAACAGTTTTTCTTTGTGGTTATGCGTTCTACATTTGCATAGCGATGTTTCTTATAATGACGTATTCCGCAAGCAGCCATGACACCGGCCAGTGTTCGATCCCTGCAGTGGCCGAGAAAGTTCATCACGATTTTCCGTCGTGGTTTCCCCTTGTCAGTGATGCAGGACGGGGCCTGACAAGGACAGCTGTCTAGTCGTTCGGATGGGACGAAAAACCGAGGTCCAGTGTTCACATTGGCGTGCATGTAAAAGATCCCTTGGCAGTTGGAATTCGATAAAAGAGTAGGCCGTAGCGCCGCTGCCCGGGCAAAATTTTCCTCATAGCACACTGTATGGCGTATGCCCGTCTTGATTAGCGCAGGTTAGGAGCAGAACAGTAGGACGTTAAACCCCATTTCATTTCATTTCGGCCATCCACCCCACCCCCACGATTGGGTAATCAGAGTGACGCAGCAAACCAGGTGAATATCCTTAAAAAGATAAAAATCACAACAAAAGAAAGAACATTATTATGACAGATTTAAATCTGCCCTTAGGGACCAATTTTAACAAAACATTCTGATTTAGGGTTATCTTACGCGCTAAGAGTAGAACAGGGTTTGATTGTTGATAAAATCGCAAATATTTTAACACAGGATGTAAGGTGATGGAGAGTCTCTTTCAAAAAAACCCAGTGAAGACATTTAGACCAATACGTCAAGATCTTCAGTAAATAAGAACGATAAGCCGATTTCCCCTGTGACCCTAGATGACCTTTACAAACCTACAGAAAACAATTAACGATAATGTTTCATATTAAAATCAAATGTATCACACGTATTATTTTATCAACAAACTGGACATTGTCGAATATAGCACTAACGATTTCAATGATAAAAATCGTCATCGTCTATTGTTAGTTTTTACCACAATATGGACACGGATGTAGAGCGAAAGTTATTTTTAGTCTTTCTCTCTCTTTCCCTTTCCCCTTTTCCATGGCGATTTTTTGTTGACTTTTTGGTGTAGAATCGAAGAAAAGGGTTTGAAAATACATTTTCTGCTAGGTTTTGGTGAATATTCATGATTTTGAGGCGGAAGGATACGAGAGTTGAGAGGTTGGTTTGGTTGAAATGTAGGGCCGAAAATTGCATGTTTACTTGTCTCTACTTCCAGCTAGTGTATCTCAAGTTTTTCATGGTGAACCTCATACGTGCTTTTGGGCAAGAGTTTGCCACATGTTGCTCCATCTGTGGCAGAAAGCGTTCTACCCAAAGAAATTTTGGGAAAAAGTTAGAGCCGGTCTAAGAGACGAGAATTAACATTAAAGTCAATGGGGAAACCATTAGTGATGTGGCCATATATATAACCAAATGACATGGTTGTATCGTCTGATTAGAGCGAGCGGGGTTGTGTGGCTAAAGGGTTAGCGCGTGCGCGTTGTATGTTAAGGTCTGTCATTGAGTCAACTGGCGTGGTTTCGATTCCCGGGTTGTACGTGACAAGTAGTAGAGTCGTCTGTCCAACCTCGTGGGTTTTCTCTGCGTCCTAAGGTTTCCTCCAACTGCTAAAGACCCCTACGCACAAGCGAATTATTGAAATAAAAGTAAACCATATGTTAGTCCCGAAATGACCTAGTTTGTGTCGAGCGGACGTTAACCCACCCCCCCTCTCTCTCTCTCTCTCTCTCCAGAACAAGAAAAGATGTGAGTATTTCTACATCCCTTGAAATGATTTTTAATTTTTTTAAAACAAACAAGACATACCAAAACCTGTGATTGGGTAACAATAATTCAATGATTCACTAATAACAAACCAAACATCAAAGGTTCTATTGATCTCAGAACAGAACCGCAACAGTTTTATTGATTCAAGAACCAACCCTCAACAGTCCTAATGATTCCAGAGCCGACCCTCGACAGTCCTAATGATCCCAGAGCCGACCCTCAACATTTCTACTGATCCCTGAACCAACCCCAACAATCCTATTGTTAGTCGTTAACACTCACCGAGTCAATCAAATCAAAGTGACAAGTTAACATTTCCTGATAACATCTGAATACACGGGTCTAGAGTTCGGCAAATCAAGCCAGCAGGCAGCTAAAAATCCATTAGTACTAATAGTTCTATTAGTTTCTGGTAATGGCATCGTAGGACAATAGAACACGGAGAAAACATTCAAATGTAATAGAGGATAATAAACAGATTAATTGACCGACCTGGGTCCTTAACCTGAGTATGACCATAATGATTAATGTCTTTAAGTTACACACTGGAAACAGAAGGAGAGATGATGGGTTAACAGCGGGAGAACCAATAAAATATTGTTTTATGTGATCGAGACAATAAGTTAACAAATAAATGCAGCGATTAAACATTTTTTTATCGTCCAATACGTCATCATACGGTATTTGGATGTAGAATACGACAATAAACTATAAGACATTAATTATCTAATAATTTATTTCCTGTTATACTTTCATTTATTCTATTATCAGGGAAGAATTGCAGGGTTATCTTCCCCATGCGCGAGAAAATATTTGAAAAAAAATGCAGCTTCAAAAAATATTGCTTTCTAGAGCACAAAACCTCTCGAGACTGCTTTGATTATCAATTATCAAAATCGACGTATATTCAAGACTAAAAAGGGCCCTCAAATATAAGTGTGCCGTACTGAGTACCGTGCCAATTTGGCCCACTGAAGTAAGGTGGTCTAGGTACGAGAGTGTGAGACCGAGAGAGAGAGAGAGCGCGAGAGAGAGAGAGAAAGAGAGAGAGAGAGTTTAACGTCCACTCGACACAAACAAAGTCATTTCGGGACTACTATATGAGAGAGAGATGGGGTTTAACTTCCAATCGACACAAACTAAGTCATTTGGGGACTAACAAATGGTTCAATTTTCGTTCAATAATTGGTTTGCGCCTAGGGGTCTTTAGCAGTGGTAGGAAACCAGAGGACCTGGAGAAAACCCACGAGGTTGGACATACAACCGGGAAATCGAAACCACTCCAGTTGACTCGATAGCAGACCGTATGATACAACACGCACGTGCTAACCATGCGGCCATCCAACTCTCTCTCTCTCTCTCTCTCTCTCTCTCTCTCTCTCGTAGTAATATATAATTGTATATATCGACCTACCTCTTTATTTACAGCTATTATCATTCTGTTTTTAGATTTTATTGTAGCCGGGAAATTTTTAATTGGCTGAAAAAACAAAACAAATAATATGTATTTGATTAAAGTTTCCAACCTGGCGTCAGTGGAAATGAAATGAAATTAAAGGTTTAACGTCCGTGGAGCAGGGTGGAAATCCTCGGGCCGAGGGTCCTGGCAAATTAAAACCGTCTAGTAGTTCATCATCATTGGCAAGGAAAAACCGAGATTCTTGTACACACTAGCGTACACATTAAAGAGACTTTGACGTTGGAATAATACATTCTGAAATGATACATTAGTGAAACCAAAAATTGCTGTCGAGTCGGAAGTCTAAGATTTTTTAGTAAGATTCGACACTAATTCTTTTTTTAAAATTTTAATAGCTCAGCAACTGTCGAACGACTTCACTCCCTCCAGTAATTCGTAGCAGGGGCGTGCTGGCAGGGAGTTTAGGAGGACGGTGTCCTCCCAGGCCCCCATTAAACAATAGGTCCACCCGTATAAGCGGGCCCCCCTGAGAGCTCTAATTTTCACGCGGAATCCCCTCAAAAAATTGAGAGTGCGCACGCGAAAAATCATACATACATCCCTCACTAATTTGAAAATTATGTAGTTTATTCTGTCTGTTAGTCAGGGGTCTTTATCAATATCCTTGACCATTATATAAATTTCTCATGTTGACACTTTATGTAGCTTTAAATTGTCAATATTCGTACTTTTCTCTTCATTATACGTATGTATATAAATTTTATTCCTTATTCAAATTTGCCTTTTTTCAAAAGTGCTCAATCAATCGGTGGTGCTGATAGCATAATTGCATTTCCTGCATATGTATATAAATTTTATTCTTTATTCAAATTTGAAATTTTTTCAAAAGTGCTCAATCAATCGGTGGTGCTGATAGCATAATTGCATTTCCTGCATTTTTGTGTTAGTATCATGTCTCATAGAGACTAAAGATTCATACATGTATTCATGCCTCGATATGTATAAGATGCAATTTATTATTTGGATAGAAATACATTGTATTAGCATTATATTAAGCAGACCTGTCATGAGTGTCTTGTGTAGTACAGTAGTATGTCTTATAGTCAAAATAGCAGCATAAATTTGGAAAATATGATACCTAGATTTCTCCCAGAAGTGCTTGCAAAACGCGTTTCCCGTTGTCAAATTTCAAAAATTTTTGGGGGGAGACCCCCCCCAGACCCCTCTGCCAGCGGCGCACCAGCGGCGCGCGGGTCGCCTCCGTGGCCCGTCCTCCCAGGCCCCTTCGGGGCCAGCACGCCCCTGATTCGTAGGCTAGGCACTTGACTAATACTGATGGTGATCTTGGAAGATATTTGCTATCATGCTGTAATAGAACTAAGCTCAGCTCAGCTACTCATACTACACGGCGCCAAAAACTGCCAAAACTCTAAAACTACATTGACACAACGTATCAAGTATCGGTATCATGATGATACGGATACGTGATACGACTGGGGAAAAATCTGCTTGCCAATAGTCTCTAATGTGTGTCAATGATTACAGACTTATTGTGCTGAATTTGGGTACGGGTAGAGTTGTAACACAGAATGAATTTGGTTGTAGGTGGAGTTGTAACACAGATTGGATTTGGCTGTGGGTATAGGTGTAACACAGAATGAATTTGGCTGTGGGTAGAGTTGTAACATAGAATGAATTTGGTTATAGGTGGAGTTGTAACACAGAATGAATTTGGCTGTGGGTGGAGTTGTAACACATAATGAATTTGGTTGTAGGTGGAGTTGTAACACAGAATGAATGAATTTGGCTGTGGGTAGAGTAGTAACACAGAATGAATGAATTTGGCTGTGTGTACAGTTGTAACACATAATGAATTTGGTTGTAGGTGGAGTTGTAACACAGAATGAATGAATTTGGCTGTGGGTAGAGTTGTAACACAGAATGAATGAATTTGGCTGTGGGTGGAGTTGTAACACATAATGAATTTGGTTGTAGGTGGAGTTGTAACACAGAATGAATGAATTTGGCTGTGGGTAGAGTAGTAACACAGAATGAATGAATTTGGCTGTGGGTAGAGTTGTAACACATAATGAAATTGGTTGTAGGTGGAGTTGTAACACAGAATGAATGAATTTGGCTGTGGGTAGAGTAGTAACACAGAATGAATGAATTTGGCTGTGGTTAGAGTTGTAACACAGAATGAATTTGGCTGTGGGTGGAGTTGTAACACATAATGAATTTGGTTGTAGGTGGAGTTGTAACACAGAATGAATGAATTTGGCTGTGGGTAGAGTAGTAACACAGAATGAATGAATTTGGGTGTGGGTAGAGCTGTAACACAGAATGAGTTTGGGTGTGGGTAGAGTTGTAACACAGAATGAATGAATTTGGCTGTGGGTGGAGTTGTAACACATAATGAATTTGGTTGTAGGTGGAGTTGTAACACAGAATGAATGAATTTAGGTGTGGGTAGAGTTGTAACACAGAATGAATGAATGAAATGGGTTTTAACGTCTTATTTAGGAGGTGTTTATCGACATTGTAACATGCTATTTTTTAGGATTTTTAAAGAACTTATTTTATTGTGTAAACTTCAAACTTCGTGAAACTGCAAATAGGTTAGAAGAGCGCGAGTTGGCCTTCCTTCTTCGACCGCCGCGACTAAAGATCCCTATGCACAAACAAATTATTGAAATAAAATTGAGCTATATGTTAATTCCGAAATGACCTAGTTTGTGTCAAGTGGACGTTATTCTCTCTCTCTCTCTCTTTCTCTCTCTCGTACAAGATTTATGTGTTTATTGAATAAGGAAGTTTGAGAATAAAAATAGAAGTAATTGATAAAAGAAATATACCTCGTCAGTGATAATTTCTGATTTCACAGTTTCACACATTAATACAAAACAAGCTCGTTAACAAATAGTTGAATTCAGAAGTCAACGAACCCTACATTTTAACTGAAGGCCCAATGAATAAATCAGGGAACAATCTTAGCAGAAATATGAATCGATTTTAAACTTTGAATACTGAGTAATATATATTTTTTTCATCAATCTGATTAAAACACAGATTTTCGTTTCGTTTTTTATAGTTCAAAATTTAGTTTTAAGTGTCTTTACAACACTAGGATCTGGCAGAGTTGTTATATAACACGCGTTCTGGTTGAAGTGAGGGATTAACCAATAAAACGGTTTGTTAGGGCGAGTTCGTGGCGTGCGATGCATGGAACTGTGGGTAAACAACTAGAAACGTCAACGCTGATTGATTAATCAATGTCTGACGTCATAGGGTAAATAGCCGTCATAGGGTAATAATAGACGTCATGGGGTAATAATAATAATAATAATAATAATAATCGTTTTCTATAGCGCTGAACATTCAGTCAGTCTGACTGCTCTGTGGCGCTTTACAATGTAGATATGATTATAATTGCGTTACATTAGACAACGTTGTACAATGTATAATGCCGTATCTGATTTGGCAACAAGAAAAGACCTCGTTTTCGGTCACTTCAAGTCTGATGTCCTGTAAAATGGATGTAAACCTATCCGCGACTGATAACTCTGTATAGGATTAGGAAGCATGTATTTTGTGAAACCCACGTAATCAAAACTACACGACGACAGGGATGAGAAGTGTTGCCTTGGGGTCTATTGCTGCCATTTTATTCAGTTACTATAAGAAGGAACATATGTTGCATCCGACATTTGTATGGTCTGATTGTATTGTGTAAACGCCGCTTTAGTAACAGTGAACAGTATGGTATCATGTTTTAAATGTCAATAACAAAGTCTCGGATACCGTACGTCCAATTAAATGGCATGGGTGCTAAATATTTAAGAAAAGATTTTTATTGACCCATCTTAAACAGGTAAACACAATATCAATATGCATTGCACATCGTCATAACATCACAACAATATTCATAAAATTTAGGTTACCGGTACAATAATTTACATACCTGTAATTAATTAAGAAATAGATAGATATGGTATATCAAGGTTGTGGACCCTCTAGAGACCACAGTTTTTATCCAATTTGGATGAAACTTTAAATATATGTTTTTATCATTAAGATCTTGGTTCCTTTTGATAATTATTAACATTAGTGTTACTTTGCTCTTATTTTTTGAAAAAATTTTCACAAGTTGATTTCCTTTATTTTGTTAATGTAGAATGATAACGAACTGCTCTTTTCATTTTCTTTGTTTTATTTGTTTCGTTTGAATTTGATTTATCTGTTTAATTTTTGATTGTTTAATTTTTGTTAATGAAGTTGATTCTTTTAAACTTCGTTTTTATTTTTGAACTCTACTTGGTGTAGGTGTTCATCAGGTAATACCTCGACTGAGTTCAATATTGAGATTAGCCGGTTGATTTGTTGGATATAAACCTTTGAATAATAGCGCCTAACAGGCAGCTGTGTTTAATTATGTTCTCCTGATTTTGATTGTTTCTGTGTGTTTGAAGTATATGTTTGTGATATGCGCTTAGAAACACTTCACGTGTAATGAAGCGCTATATAAATCGAACAATAATAATAAAAAACATACATGTATAATTATACGAATAAACAAAAGAATACAAAGGAATACAAAGTTACAATATACAAATGGAAAGTGAAGCATTTAAATTATAGTTCAAACGTTTGGGTAAAAAAACAGGGTTTTTAGACGTCGTTTAAATATAGCCAAGTTTAGACTATTTTGGACTTCCAGAGGCAATTTGTTCCATTCTTTTGGTGCTGCGTATACAAAAGCTCTCTCACCAAATTTTGACTTCTGTACTGGACACATACAAGTTTGTTTTGTGTACCCACCCTGACGCGATCTTCCACTACAACCGGTCAGATCTTCATGTAGTGTAAGCCATCGAAAGTATAAAAAACGAAACGAAATATAGATCTGTATTCTAATCAGACTATTGTTTTCGTGTGACAAATTTGTTATCTTAAAGAATAGGACACCAGTTACGTGACAAACAACATACGCTTCAGCATCGTTTATCATTATATTATATAAATGACATATTTACCAAAAGAAAAGCTAATATATTGTCTGGACCCTTTTTTTTAATTATTTTTAAATATTATACAAAGAATAGAAATGTTTAGAACAATTAATGAAATAGGGAATTGTCTAGAATGGTAAAATGGATGAAATATGATTATGACTTTAGTTGCTGACAAAAAAAAAACTATGTGACAACAGAAGTAATTTTTTCTTTCTTCCGCTTTTCCAAATGGCGCAATTCAATGTAAATTTTAAGCAAATATTTCGAGGGTTTAGAACATAATTGTGATAAGTCAATATATCAAGCATTGTGACTTATCACAATTATGTTTTAAACCCTCGATTTTATGTCTATAGGGATTTTTAGCGCCTAAATGTTGGATTAGCCTAAATGAACTTTCTGGCATTCCAAATGTTTTTTTCAAATTGGCCGGACCCTCTCATGAACTTTAAGCTCTACTTTCTCGCTTCTACGTAAATATACTTTTAATGGAAATGAAATGTGTTTTAACCTCCTACTGTTCTGCACAGATTGGGCTAATGAAGACGGGCATACGCCATACAGTGTGCTATGAGGGGAATTTAGCCAGGACAGTGGCGTTACGGCTTACTCTTATATCGAATTCCAACTATCAAGGCTTCTATTACTGCCATTCCAGTGTGTACATGGGACCTCGGATTTTTCGTCCCATCCGCACGACTAGACAGCTGTCCTTGCCAGGCTCCCCAGTTCTTCGCCACTGACAAGGAGGAAACCCCGAGGGACTTTCTCGGCCAACACCGGGAGCCAACCCAAGACATCCCGGTTAGCAAGCGTCTCTCATCTCATACTTTGAATGGCATTCCCGATAGAATGATGTATTTTAGCGATGATTATGACTGATTTGATTTTTTTTTACAGAATTTCTTTAAACAAAAAGTCACGCTACACATTTTCCTATGGGTTCTTTAGGAAGTAATTTTCAAACTTTTTTTTACTTTTTATTTTATTTTTTTTTTTTTTTTTTTGCTACATATGGTTGATTCCGTTTTCAGATCCTGTGATTTATGTCTAGCTGTGTTAACGCGTTTAAACCCCAATCTGATTAAAATACAGATCTATATTTCGTTTCGTTTTTTATACTTTTTATGGCCTAGTGTAGTAAAGACAAGTAAAACGAAATTTTGAATTATAAAAACGAAACGAAATAGGATCTTTTTTTTAATCAGATTGTTTAAAACGCAATGCTATAACTTTTCCTCATGGGGTCCGCTCTGAAGTCGTCTTAAAACTTTTTTTTATATTTTCTAAATTTTGCTATAATAACGCCGACGACTACAATAATTTGGTTCGTAGCGCATAGCGTTGGGTAGAACCTATAAATGCCCCGTTTACTATCGCATGACTTGATATCTCCGTGGATGAATCGTGATAAATAGGATTAGTCTGATCTTCAGAGTCCAAGGAACGGTCAGAGCTTTACCACAGACCGACATTCCTCGTTATCAGCTCGTGTTGAGGAAGTCGTTATGTGACTTCGTATTCCTTTGCTGGGGGAGAGAGAGAGAGATGGGGGTTAACGTTCACTCGACACAAACTAGGTCATTTCGGGACTAACACATGGTTCAATTTTATTTCAGTAATTCGCTTGCGCTTAGCGTTCTTTAGCAGTGGGTGGAAACCGGAGGACCCAGAGAAAACCAACGAGGAGGTTGGACAGGCGACCCTACTCCTTGCCACGTACAACCGGGCAATCGAAACCCTGCCAGTTGACTCAATAACAACCTTATGATACAGCGCACATGTGCTAACCATTCGCCCCCCCCCAACCCCTGTAAATAATGAAGCAAATCGAGTGGGGTGACAAAAGGAATTTTCTAAGCTTGTATTAATTCTTATAGTTGCATTTCGACCATTGTAACTTCACAAGATAGGTTGTCAGGCAACAAAAAATACGCCGGCGCAGTTGACAAAGGTGGCCGCATATCTATGCTCAGGCGCGGATCCAGGGGGGGGGGGGTGGCAAAGGGGGTCGTGCCCCCCCCCCCCTAGCCCCAGTGAGACTGGTCATCACTGTTCAGACCAGCACCTGCATCCAGCAATGGGATTCCCAGATTTTAGTGTCTGTTTAAGGTCATAAGTAGGATAAGCTCAGCTGTCTGTCAGTTCGATTAGATAAGTGGTTAGCGAAGGACAGCTCTAATCGCTCTGATTTCTTCACATTATGGTGTTTTGTGTTTTCTACAGACCTCAGAATGGCTTGAGGGAAAAAAGTGGTGAGAAAGTGGTGAAAAAATCTTCGTTACGCACGTTTTTTGAACCTGCTATACGACCACAATTCCACGCGGACGTATAAAAAACATTTTATAAAATCAGTGAAAGTTGTCCATTATTTATCAATAAATATTTTCATATAAATTGTCAACTTTTTTATCACATATTATTTAAAATTTCTTTTGACATATACTCTTCAAAAAAAAAGTAGGGGATATTGAAATGCTAATACCTATGCAGGTAGTGATATGATAAATAGTCATGGACACTTGACATGCTTTGAGAGTCAATCTGGTTAAAACACAGATCCTATTTCGTTTCGTTTTTATAGTTCAAAATTTCGTTTTACTTGTCTTTACTACACTTTGATCTGGAAGAGTTGTTATTTAACTCGTGTTCTGAATGGTGTCAGGGATAAGCCAATGAAACGGTCTGTTACGGCGAACTTTAGGCGTGTTTTTCACGGAACTGTGGGCAATCCACTAGTAACATCAATGCTGATTGGTTAATCAAATGTCTGACGTCAAAAGGGTCATAAGTCGATCTTTTGACCCCTGACGTGACCTATCGCTATAACTTGTCAGATCTTTATGTAGTGTAGGCCATCAAAAGTATAAAAAACGAAACGAAATATAGATCTGTATCTTAATCAGATTGTTAGGGAGTATGTTCACAGATGAAAAACTTATCGCTCCAACAGACCACTGAGCTGCACATGCGAAACGCAATAGCGCCATACACGTAGGAGGGGTTCATTGTCAAATTTAACACTTCAAGTAAGGGTTGATGAAAACTGCCGCGTGCTGGTTTATCCTATCCATGTTTGCTTTCTTTATCGGTTCTTTCATAAGATTTAATGTTTAGCGTATCTTTGCTTTAGTGTGTTACGTTTAGTTGGCAATGAGACGTCTTCAACATGATGTAACGTCAACGTGCTATTGGTTCTACACAGCGAGCAGTAGCCAACATGCTTAATGTGACTCAGTCTTTGATCAGCACTGTGGAACCGGTACCAACAGACACACAATGTTGATGATAGACCTCGTTCAGGTCGTCCTAGAGCCACTACACAAGCCCAGGATCGATACATTCGTACACAGGTCCTGCGAAATCGAGGATAAACGGCCAATCAGCTTTCTGTAAACTTGTACCAAGTTACTGGAATTCGAGTAACACCCCAAACGATTAGAAATCAGCTACATGCAGCCCATTTCCATGCGCGACGACCGCGTGTTGTGGCTCCATTAACTCGCCAGCACATGACAAACAGGCGTCAATGGTGTAGGCAGCGTAGAAATTGGGGCAATCGTCGATGGGCGCGTGTAATGTTCTCAGATGAGTCCAGATTTACTCTGGATTTCACAGATAGGCGTGCTCGTGTTTAAAGGCGTGTAAATGAGCGTCATGCTAACGTTAACGTCAGACAGCATGACAGATTCGGGCGTGGGTCTGTTATGGTGTGGAAAGGAATCACCATGACTGACGGAACGGTCATTGCATATTGTTCATAGAAGGGTCACTTCCATTCCAAGAGGAGTGGGTCAGATTGCCCCAAATCGTGATTGGACGGTTAATTAGTAACATACGACGACGAATTACTGAATGTCTGAGGATTGGTGGAGCAATTACTCATTATTAAGACAAAAATCAAAAACGTCCATTTTCACTTACCAATGGTATTCCTGGATAATCCAACCATTCACTGCAGAGATAGTCTTCGGACATACCAGTCACCCTAGAGAAGTAACGTATATTGTTAAAGGTGCGAACATATACAATATATGAAGGGGGGGGGGGGCTTAACGTCCGCCTTTACCTAGAGTGATATCGCAGACTAAGACAATAGATTAAAGCCAATGTGTATTTGGGGCGGGGGTGGAGAGGGCAGGGTAAGCTTACTCTTCCGGACACCTGTTACCACTGTTTGTCGTGTATTTTGTACACGAGGAGCAGTCCATTTGCTGATTACACTATTTTGCTTGAATACACTATTTTGCCTATAACGTTTTTTAGGACTTCGAATTCGGTCTTATGGTTTGGATTGTTCGTACTTGTTTTTATTTTATTTATATTATGGTTCACTTTTTCAATTTAATTTCAATAATTTGCTTGGTTGCGGGAATCACGTGGGGAAATGCGCGAACAGTCCAAATTGAACGGCAGTCATGTAAACCTCCTTAATCCATTTTTTTTGGGGGGGGGGGGGGGGCGGGGGGGTCTGTGTCTTTTGTGAATCAGCCAATTCTAATTCTCATTTTTAATTTTGAATATTATGGATGGCATTGAGTTAGATTTGGGGACCACCGTGGATAAGTGGGTAAGACGCTGGCTCGCTAGTCTGAAGGTCGGGTGTTCGATCCCTGAATTGGCCGAGAAAGTTCATCCAGATTTTCCGGCGTGGTTTCCCATTGTCAATGATGCAGGACGGAGGGTCTGACGAGGACAGCTGTCTAGTCGTTCGGATGAGACGAAAAACCGAGGTCACGTGTACATATTGGCGTGAACGTAAAAGATCCCTTGGCAGTTGGAATTCGATATAAGAGTAGGCCATAGCGCCGCTGCCCGAGCTAAATTTCCCTCATAGCACACTGTATGGCGAATGCCTGTCTTCATTAGCCCAGTTTAGGAGCAGGGGCCTGTTTCACGAAATTTTAACTAAGATAAAATCCAAATTTTAGTAATTTGATTGGATAATATTAAATTGATTTTAGTCCTTAGCCAATCAAAATTGATGTATCTACTAAAATTTGGATTTTATCTTTAGTTAAAATTTCGTGAAACAGGGCCCAGAACAGTAGGACGTTAAACCCCATTTCATTTCATTTCTTTAGCAGTGACGGAGATTTGGCAGGCGACATTATGCATATACTGATTGTCTCGTATAAGTTTGGGATCCACGCCTAGCACTTGACTCAATGACAGACCCAGGTCCGTAGCGGTGGGGGGGGGGGGCGCGAGGGCTTCTGGGGGCGCCGATGTACCTACACTTGACGACTTACGGCAACATGGGCCCGCTTCGAGGGTGCTCAGCCGCGAGAAAATTTTAGAAAATAGGGTTTGCACCTGAGGAAAGGAAATATGTCAATGGTCGAAAATAAACACTTTAAAAAGTAAGGAATACGACTTTAGCGTACCTATAATAATTTATAAGAAAAACGAAAAGTTCGGTATATGGTTACAGTGCGACGTGTTTGAATTTTGAAGATCATCACGCCTGGCGCGGGCTTGAATCAATCTCATCTCAATTGTGAATCGTAGGCGCTCAACCAGCGTCACTCGGCTTTATGGGGTGCCCATACACTCGGCAAACCTCGGCAGATTCCGTAACCCTACATCTAGCCTCGGCTGTATGACAGTAAGTGATATGCACCTACGCCTATACATTTGCGATGCGGCACCGGTTTACTTATAAGGGAAACTTGCCCGCGTTTAGAAAGAAGTTCTCAAAATTGCGTCGTTCGAAGAGTGTGTAGAATTTTCAGTGCAAATTTGTCCTTGTCTAAAGAAAATCGGATAAACATGAAAGAAAAACAGCCTCAAACTTTGAAAATTTTGTATAAAAAAACATTCTTCAAATACGTCGTCATCAATGACGTCATTAGTCGTCATGGACAACGCCATTGTAATCCGGGAACTTGAAAGTAGTTCTAATGGCGGACTTGGTCATACAGCCGAGATTAGATGCAGAGTACTGGAATCTGTTGAGGTTTGCCGAGTGGTGCCCATACTGATATTGGCACGTAGGACGTTGGCTTCGTATTGCGTCCAATGGAAAGCTACGGACCTGCAGACCTTATGATCTAAATCCCCCTTGCCCATTTCATTTCTGTAAGGTTCTAAATATCAATGATCCTTTCTACATTTGGGAAATTGTCTAAAAATGACGAATGCCTTAAATCAGGACCGACAAGAGCGGGCGGTTCAGTACCCCACAGTGTTTTTATATATCAATTCATTTTCTCTTGGGGGGGGGGGCAGATGGTTAGCTTTATCATAAGTCCTGCCATTGAGTCAACTGGTGTGGTTTCGAATCCCTGGTTGTACGTGACAAGGAGTAGGGTCGCCAGTCTAACCTCGTGGGTTTTCGCCGGGTCCTCCGGGTACCTCCCATGGCTAAAGACCCCTACGCGTAAGCGAATTATTGAAATACAATTGAACCATATGTTGGTCCCGAAATGACCTAGTTTGTTTCGAGTTGGCGTTAAAGACCATCTCTCTCTCTCTCTCTCTCTCTCTCTCTCTCTCTCTCTCTCAATCTCTTTCTCTCTCATTTTCTCTTCATAGTTCGGGGAGCCGATGTGGCTAAGTGATCACTGCCTTGGTCGAGAAAGTTCCCCGTCTCAATAGTACAAGAAGGAGGGCTTAGCAAGGCAGACAGCGTATAACGAAAAACCGAGGTCCCGTATACCTATTGGCGTGCATGTAAACAAGCCCTTGACAGTTGAAATTCTAAATAAGAGTCAGTAGCGGACATAGCACACTGCAAAGTAGATGTCCGTCTTCATGTGTCTACTAGATGCAACTAAAAGTAGGATTTTAAGTTTTCTCAGTGGAAATGAAACGAAGTTTAACGTCCAACTGCCAAGGGATCTTTTAGAAGGTATACACGGGACCTCGGCCAATGCAGGGATCGAACACGCGACCTCCAGCCACCTTTTTCAAATAACGAATCTCGTGTTTCTCAAAGTGTGTTGACATTAAATTATTTGACTAACTTTCGTCTTCTTTTTGATATTTAATTTCCTCTCCGTGATCAATTGTATAAAAGAAGGTAAATGACATTTACTTGTAAAGTCTCCTCCCCCCACATAAACCCATGTCATTTGATTTGTAAAAAAAAGGTTCATTTCTAACAAGTTACAGACGGAAATTAGATGGAGACGACACAATAATAAACTTCTTAAAGGGTCGTTAACATTTCAGGATATAAATTGTTTGGGATATAAATACTTCAGGATATAAATTCGATTGATTAAAATTGTTTTGGGAGGAGGTGTGTGTGTGTGTGGGGGGGGGGGGGGCTTAAAGGAGCTAAATCGCTAATATTTTGTATCTAGAAATTGACACAAATGGATTGCAACGCATATAATAATGTAATATGAATGTATATAAACTGATTTACATTCAATCGTTTCTGTTTTTACTGCAATTTCTAATCAGTTATGTTCGGCGAAATACGCCAAAGTCTCAATCGAAAGGCAATCTCTAGCGTCTGGTTATTCCACTCTATACCGATAGTATTTATTGCGCATGCTCTCCAGATAAGAATATGACGTCACCGTTTGACATGACTTGTGGAATATATCTAGCCTCTTTCTCCGAGTCCCTTGTTAAAAATGGCGCTGAAATGCACCATGGTACACGATTCGTGTGCCAACGCTAAAATGTTTATTTTGTCTTAATTAATGGATATCAGAAGCCCATCTTTTCCCCGTAAGATCACAACATCAATGTTGATTTAAATTCGTGTTTTCAATGTCGAAGATTTTGGATGATATTGAGTTAGAGACTTCGCTACTTTAATCTTAATACTTCAGAATATAAATCAGATTCATTAAACCTGTTAGTCTGTGAAACGTTGGGGTGCAGTTATTGCTCCGGTGAAATTATGGGGCCCGCTTTTTTGGCCTGTGAAACGCCGGGGCGTGGTTTTTGTTCCATGAAACTCTGGAACGCGAGTATAGGTGCCATGAAACTCTGGAACGCGAATATAGGCCCCTGAAACTCCGATAAGCGGCTATTGACCCGTGTCTGAACATTTTAACATCGACTTGGACTGCTCCATTAAAGAAGTTAACAGGCGGAAACAAACTCCATCTTGAAGAGGGTGGGTTGGATGGCTGAATGGTTAGCGTGTGCCCGCTGTATCGTAAAGTCTGTCATTGAGTCGACTGGCGTGGTTTCGAATCCCCGGTTGTACGTGGCAAGGAGTAGGGTCGCCTGTCCAACCTCGTGGGTTTTCTCCGGGTCCTCCTACTGCTAAAGAACCCTACGTGCAAGCGAATTGTTGAATGAAATTGAACCATATGAGAGAGAGAGAGAGAGAGAGAGAGAGAGAGATGGGGTTTAACGTCCACTCGACACAAACTAGGTCATAATTCGCTTGCGCGTAGGGGTCTTTAGGAGTGGGAGGAAACCGGAGGACCCCGAGAAAACCCATGAGGTTGGACAGGCGACCCTACTCCTTGTCACGTACAACCGGGGATTCGAAATTGAACCATATGATAGTTCCGAAATGACCTAGTTTGTGTCGAGTGGACGCTACCCCCCCCCCCTCTCTCTCTCTCTCTCTCCCACTGCTAAAGACCGCTAAGGGCAAGCGAATTATTGAAGTAAACTTAAACCATGTGTTAGTCCCGAAATGACCTAGTTTGTGTCGAGTGGACGCTACTCCCCCCCCCCCTCTCCCACTGCTAAAGACCGCTAAGCGCAAGCTTAGTCCAGAAATGACCTAGTTTGTGTCGAGTGGACGCTACCCCCCCCCCCTCTCTCTCTCTCTCTCCCACTGCTAAAGACCGCTAAGCGCAAGCGAATTATTGAAGTAAACTTAAACCATGTGTTAGTCCCGAAATGACCTAGTTTGTGTCGAGTGGACGTTACCCCCCCCCTCTCTCTCTCTCTCTCTCTCTCCCACTGCTAAAGACCGCTAAGCGCAAGCGAATTATTGAAGTAAACTTAAACCATGTGTTAGTCCCGAAATGACCTATTTTGTGTCGAGTGGACGCTACCCCCCTCTCTCTCTCTCTCTCTCTCTCTCTCTCTCTCTCTTTACCGTTGTGAAACATAGTGCTATGGCTTCCTGTTCAAACAGAAAAGTCTAAAACTCATATTTCCAGTGGGATGGTCATTACCTTATCAAAAGAGCTCATAAATCAAACAAAAAGAAAAGAATTATGGAGCATCAAGGACAAGGTGTTATCTTTTAAAAATAATGTATTAATATTTAATTTGAATTAAACATGTTTGTGATAAAATGATAGAATCTATGTGCGTGTTCAAACTCTTCATCGTTTCAAAAGAAGAAAAAGAAAATCACATTAGATAAATTGTTCTAATCAAGTGCTTCTTTTTCTTTGTTGCTCAACGACATAATTCTGACGAACTATATTATTATAAAACACACCATAATCTTTGAGGGCCTTTTAGTAACTGGATAGAGCAATACACAAAAACACATACTTATGGAAAAACAGCTATTTAATTTATTTGGGCGACGTTTCCAACTTCAGGGTATTCTCTCGACATTAACAAGTTAATATTTGATCATGTTGAAAGAATACTCTTCGAAACGCCGCCCAAATAAATAAGTAGCTGTTTTGCATAAGTATGTGTTTCGTGTATATAAAACACATACATGCACTTGTGGAAAACAGCTGCTTATTGAGAGAATACACTTCGAAACGTCGCCCAAAAAACTAAGTAGCTGTTTTTCCATAAGTATGTGTTTCGTGTATATAAAACACATACTTGTGGAAAACAGCTGTTTTTTGAGAGAATACTCTTGGAAACGTCGCCCAAATACACAAGAAGCTGTTTTCCATAAGTATGTGTTTTGTGTATATAAAACACCATACCTTAAACGTAAAAAGTTGTCTAAAAACATCTTCATAAATTCCTACAATACAATAAAAAAAACTACCATAAAAAGGGGGCTTAGTTGTCCTAAAACCCTCGTCAGACCGGGGCGGCGTCCTTACTGCGCTAATGCGACCGTACGGCGACCAGAAAATACACAAGGTCGCAGGCAAACGGCTAATTACCACGCTTATGACGCTCTTGACGCGCTCTGAGACTATTTTCCGTCGCCGTAGCAGCGCTGTAAGGACACCACCTCGGTCTGACGGGGGTATTATCAGCTGTGCCTGACGTGGGGTCTGTGAAGGACAGCCGTCTAGTCGTATGTAATAGTATATTATAGGGGTTATTTTAGCTCTATGAAAGGTGCTCTGTTGAATATATTGAAGTGGTTAAACAAATGGGTGACTATGAGAAATGGGTTTAAGTAGGTATTTATATGAAAGAGCGGGGTTAAATTTCTCTTCAGACATCATTTAGAGATCCTAGGAGAGACATCGCTCGAAGTTCCTACGGGAACATCATATCCACAGCCTCCTAGGCTTAGAGGCCGGAATGGCTCTCGCCACAGAACACGTGCTAAGTGATAGACAACTTATATTTAGCTTATATTTAATGTCATAGCTGTGTGTGTAGTTTCCTGTGTATAACCTTTGCATTATGGATGTTATAAGCACATAGTTAACCAACAAAGTGTTCCAGAGCCAATTGATCCGTGAAGTTTTATACACAACGTGAAGTCAAAGTTAGTTCCTAATTTACTGCAATGTCACAGTCTTCTCACAAGTATATGTACATGTCTTATTTAGTGTAAATCGGTATGTAGAATGACTAAAACGCAACATTGTGCTCGGACATTTATCTTCTTATGTAAACAATCCACGCGCCATTGAGCTAATGATTGACGTCGCGTGATGGGACGCCACGTGTTGAAAGCAGTCATCTTTTACAGAGTTATTAGAAGACTTTCGTAATCCTCTGTCAAACAGATTGGGTCAAACGCAGTAGCAATATTGTTATTAATTCATCTTTAAAAAAATAATACAACCACGTTCAGTCTTTGTTAAATTAGACATATTGCTAAATATTTTTATTTAAAAACACAACCACGCCCAGTCCTTGTTAAAATAGCAATATTGCTATGGAATTATTAAATAAAAGAGAAAATCTGCACATTTCACAAATACAGTGTTTTGAAGCACTGGTAAGTTGATACCATTGACTAATGAAGCTAGGCCTTTTAGTAATGACAATTTTGGTCATTAAATCATATGAGTGGTAAATGTTTAGTATGTATAGAAAGTGATTAGTAATTATACAGTTGTCATTAATTAGCAGGTGTGTAACTAGCTGTAAAAGATGTCACTACTGGTGTAAAAACGTGATTACATGTATTTATAATACCCATCACTGTTGAAAACACCTACTTAATGACCCATGCCTTATTACTAACAATTTTAACTAACTAATATATATTATGTATATAAACCGACGACTTTGATCTATTAGTGTCGTATATTTTCATTTATAACAGTTATTTGTTGCTTAGTCAACGATATCAACTTTACCGTGCAACTACATGTAATTCTTAATTTGGCCCGCTATCAAAACAACAGTTGTTTACGGCAACTGAGGCTATAGAGAGATAAATAATGGTTTCGAGACAGAGAAATGGGGTTTAACGTCCATTCGACACAAACTAGGTCGTTTCGGGACTAACATATGGTTCAATTTTATTTCAATAATTCGCTTGCGCGCAGGGGTCTTTACCAGTGGGGGGAATCGAAAACCACGCCAGTTGACTCAACTACAGACCTTATAATACAACGCGCACGCGCTAACAATTCGAACACCCAATCCCCTTACCTGAGTTTAAGCTGTTAACTTTTCTAAATTAATATTCAACATTTTATACGATTAAAAACTTATAGGACGAAACAGTATCCTGACTTGTACTATAGACTTATCGCCGCTTTAAAGATACTTTCCCGCGTACAAACTGTGTGATTTGATGATATATTTGTACTAAAAACATATTCAAACTAATTAATCCATCAAAAAGTTGCTTCAAATCACTCTCAAAACATTGTGGGTATCTCCAATAAAAGACTCTGCAATTGAACTGCGGAAAAGTAGTTTACTTAGGCCTCAATATGTATGATAAATGGACAGTGAGTAACGAAAAATACATTTTGAAAAATGGACCCTCCCTTCATGAATTGAGCTGAATTACATGGCGTCTAACAACAGTTTATTTATAACTTGCGGTATCTCCCGACTAATACAATGTTTTGAGAAGGTTTTGAAGAAAAAATTGATGTATTTGTTAGTTTAAATATGTTTTTCGTCCAAATATATCATCAAATCACGCAGTTTGTACGTGGGAAAGTATCTTTAATATTTATATAAATGAAATAAAACGGAGCTTAATCTCCTACTTTTGTGTAGCGAATGAGTGAATGTAAAGTGGAATATTTCAATAAGCCCATATAAAGTTACCATGACTTTATAACTGAACTCTCAATCTACTCGATTTCAATCTCAATTTCAATTTCCAAAGCAATTGGGGGTGGGTGGAGAAAAGATATTAATTTTTTTTTCTTTTAATGAATTTTCGTTTCTTAAACAAAAAAAGAACCCACAATCTATTATGGTTGATATAATGATTTGGCGTGTGGGTGGAAGAGACGAGAATACTAAAGCAATCATAGCCTTCTCAAAAATAAATTAGTGCACAAATTAATCATTTCAAGGATAAGATTAATGGATCTTCTTTCACTAATTAGTTTGGGTAAAACACAGATCCTATTTCGTTTCATTTTTAATCGTGCAAAAATTCGTTTTATTTGTCTTCGCTACACTAGGATCTGGAAGAGTTGTTATATAAGAGGCGTTCTACTTGATGTGAGGAATTAGCCAATGTTACGGCGAGTTCTTGCCTTAAATCACTAGAAACGTCAAGACTGATTGATTAATCAATGTCTGACGTCATAGGGTCAAAAGCCGCTCGTATGACCCTTTACGCGACCTCCCACTAAAAATAGTCACATTTTCATGTAGTGTAGGTCATCGAAAGTATAAAAAAAAACGAAACGAAATATAGGTCTGTATTTTTATAAGATTGTTCAATAATGCAACTATTCGCATTGGCCAAAATCCCAAACGGCCATTAAAACGCTTTCATTATTATAGATACATTATGAAAAATGGTCGTTCTTGATATAATAGTTTAAAGATATATGAAAGATTTAGATAAAGAGCTGGTCGTCCTTGATATCATAGTTTAAAAATAGATAATGAAAAATGGATATATTGAAAATTGCATTCAAATTACTTTATTCTAGATGAAGTTATGAGTGTTTGAAGGTGTAGAGCAGATTGTTTATTATTTAGCAACAGCACCAGACAACTCAACCCTCCTAGAGAGTTGATTATCGGCTTATCATGTTAATAAAGGTCAAGATAATAGTTTTTATCACCTAACTAGCAGGATACCCGGCTTCGCTCGGGGGTCATAACTCCGAAACCGGAAGTGGTAGACTAACGCCACCTGGCCTATGTTACTCCCCGGTCCGAGCTACCCCTATACCCCGAATTTCAGACTCGGGGCAGACCTAGTGTAGCCGCCAACCCCGAACAGACAGACAAACGACAGTCACAAATATTAGTATAGATAGATAGATAATACATTCTACAGTAGATATCGCTTAGGAGATATCGCTTTACATGAATTTGATTGGTCAGTTAAAAAGGAACTACTTTTTTGTATTTTCAAAGAACAGTTCATTTTTCTTTAAAAGTAACTTCTTTTTTTATTAAAAATGAATTATTTTTATTTAATTGACCTTGATGGAAACACTGGGTCAATATAAAGGACTTTACAATGGTTGAATTGCTGTCAAAAAATTATGTATCGCTACGCCGTAATGTAATCAAATTCAGTAAAAGTGAAATCTATAGCAAAGAATTATATTTATTTATTTGTGCATGTAAGAAGAGATTGTGTGATAAATAAAATCTCCTACTCGTCTTTTTTGATATCAAAAAATATCAACACTCGTTCATAATTTAAGTATTATTTTGTTACTTTATCAACTTGTGTTGATATTTTTTGATATCAAAAAAGACGAGTAGGAGATTCTCTATATATAACAACTGAAGCCAAAATAAAGACCCACAATGCATCTTACGTAATGCATCTTAAATATTTGGTTTTAACAGCACCAGCCATTTGAAGAGCATTTGTTGCAAAACTTTTTAAACATGCTTTTAAACTATGACCATGTTGACTTTTTAATGTTTTAGAACTATTTGTTTTACATTGTCTGTATTTTTATTGTGGAGAGCGCCGTGGAGCAGCTGTTAGCTGGAGCAAATTGATTATTATTATTAATTATTATTGTTTGGGACTAATCAGCGCCAATCGACATCTGGGAATTTAGTAGTGGTGAATTTGTACAAATTTATCAAACAGTGAGGCCTTGTATGGTCCGGGGGGGGGGGGGGCTGGATGGCCGAATGGTTACCACGTGCGTGCTGTATCATACGGTCTGTCATTGAGTCAACTGGCGTGGTTTCGAATCCCTGGTTGTACGTGACAAGCAACAGGGTCGCCTGTCAAACCTCGTGGGTTTTCTCCGGGTCCTCCGGTTTCCTCCCACTGCTAAAATTAAACCCTATGTTAGTCCCGAAATGACCTAGTTTGTGTCGAGTGGACGTTAAACCCCATTTCTCTCTCTCTTTTTGGGGGGGGGGGGTGGCTGAATGGTTAGCGTGCGCGCGCTGTATCATACAGTCTGTCATTGAGTCAACTGGCGTGGTTTCGAATCCCCGGTTGTACGTGACAAGCAATAGGGTCGCCTGTCCAACCTCGTGGTTTTTCTCCGGGTCCTCCGGTTTCCTCCCACTGCTAAAGACCCCTACGCGCAAGCGAATTTTTGAAATAAAATTAAACCATATGTTAGTCCCGAAATGACCTAGTTTGTGTCGAGTGGACGTGAAACCCCATTTCTCTCTCTCTCTCTTTTTCTATGGTCCCAATGGTCTACTGCGTGTGTTTTAACTTCCGTAATTTAGTAGAAGGTGGATGGCCGATTGGTTAGTGCGTGCGTGTTGTATCATAAGGTCTGTAATTGAGTCAAGTGGCGTGGTTTCACTTCGTAGCTTGTACGTGACAAGAAATAGGATCGCATGTCCAACTTCCGTGGGTTTTCCCCGGGTCTGTCGGTCTCCTCCCGCTGTTAAAGACCCTATGATAAAACTAATTTACCTGAAGTTGGGAACCTTACTTATACATATTACAGTGTACCTATAATAAAATTAATTTACCTGACGTTTGGAACCTTACTATAATTACCTATGATAAAACTAATTTACCTGAAGTTGGGAACCTTATTTATGATAAAACTAATTTACCTGATGTTGGCAGTGGCGGTGCCAGCCGTCGGTGATTGGAGGGGCAAAGCTGGGGCAAATGCCCCCCCCCCCCCTTGCCCCCCCCCCCCCCCGGCGCCGCCACTGTATGTTGGGAACCTTACATATACATATTACTTATGATAAAACTAATTTACCTGAAGTTGGGAACCTTATTTCTGATATAACTAATTTACCTGATGTTGGGAACCTTACATATACATATTACCTATGCTAAAACTAATTTACCTGAAGTTGGGAACCTTATTTCTGATAAAACTAATTTACCTGATGTTTGGAACCTTACATATTTATTACCTGTGATAAAACTAATTCACCGTGCCATTCAACAACGTATTTCTTCAAAAAGTGTAAAAAGGCCTCTCGACCAACCGTTTCTTCCAAATAACGTAACAAAAAATAACCCTGTAATATACAAGGAACATGTTGAGATTAGTGGCCAATTGATGAAGGTGATGCACATTTGTGATTTCTTATTATTCATCAAAATTGCATCTAGTCGTTCGGATGGGACGGAAATCCGCGACCCATCCGTGCATGTAAAAGAACTCTTGGAATTCTATGAAGAATAGACGGATAAAATTCTGTGCATAAAGTCTGGTTTCCTGTAGCAGGGGTGCAGGACGTAGGGTATGTGTGTGTGTGTGGGGGGGGTAACAAGACAAGGAGTTTAGTTGTTCGTAAGGGAGAACAAATTTAAAACCACCCATGTACTCGTTGGCGTGCACGTAAAAAAACACGTGGGATTCGAAGAAAAGTAGTCAGTGACGACGCTAAAGTAGGACGATAAACCCCATTTCATTTTATTTCATATCTACGTATTACTGTTCCGCTCCGAATGGGATAATGAAGACGGGTCTACACCATACAGTGTGTTACAAGGGAAGGTTTGCCCGGGCAGTGGCGCTACGGCCTACTCTTATAACGAATTCCAACTGCCAAGGGATTATTTACGTGCACGCCAATATGTACGCGGGATCTGCCATGTCATGCTATACGTCCTGCACAACTGACAAGGGGAAACCGCACCGGAAAATCCCGATGAACTTTCTCGGCCAACACCGGGTTCGAACCCCCGACCTCCAGACTAGCGAGCCAGCCCCTTCATCGTTTGGATTCCTGTTCTTGAATGATGTCTGGAGAATGAAGACTATGAAGTAACAGTAGCTAGAGACGTGACGCCACTCGGCAAATCTCAGCAGATTCCAGTTCCCTACATCTAGCCTCGGCTGTATGACGAAATCCGCCATTTGAAGAAATGTTTTATTATACAAATATTTCAAAGTCTGAAGCTGTTTTTCTTTCAAGTTCATTCGATTTTCTTCAAACAGGGACAACTTTGTATAGCCAAGGCTAGATATGAGTAACGGAATCTGTCGAGGTTTGCCGAGTGGCGTAACGCGCCAGAGGACCATCACCTTGACTACATTAGCCAGAGACGTTACGCCAGACAGCCATCACCTGGACTATATTATCCGACTATATAAGACTCTGATCCGACTGACATTGATCATACAGCGGAAGATATCCCTCTTTATAAAAGTTATTAATTTCTGTTATATGTCTATAATTTGCTGAACCTAACACGGGGTGTGTTTCTGTATTATAAACATATTAATAATCTTAACTCGGATTCCAATAAAGAGAGCGAAAGAGAGAGAGAGAGAGAGAGAGAGACGTCCACTCGACACAAACCAGGTTATTTCGGGACTAACATATGGTTTAATTTTATTTCAATAATTCGCTTGAGCGTAGGGGTCTTTAGCAGTGGGAGGAAACCGGAGGACACGGAGAAAACCCACGAGGTTGGACAAGCAAGCCTACTCCTTGTCACGTACAACCGGGGAATCGAAACGACGCCAGTTGACTCAATGACAGACCTTATGATACAACGCTCACGCGCTAACCATTCGACCATCCCCCCACCCCCACTTACGGGACATAAATACAATACAATAATTAAGCCCACTAAGTTATCCACACCTTTAAATAATGAACTTGCATAAAACCTTTCTCAGGATTCATACCATGTTTAACAAACTTCTCATTTTCACTCGAAACGCTGCCTTGGTTAGGTCTGTAATATACATAACAATAAAACACGTTAGGCATATACATAAAAAACAAACATTAAAGGCTCAATGTCACTCTTGCTGTAACTGAATAATATGTCCCAATCTTTATTCTGGTCAACAAATTGTACTATTTTATAATATTCCAATTAATTGATGATACAAATTTCATCTTAACACACCTAATTTAAAAAATTGGAAAAATTCAACTAAATGATTTGAAAAGCCTGACGTAAAGCTTTTCAAATGTGACTTGGATTTAAAAATATTTTTGAACCCTCTGGACAAGTAAAATAGGATTTAATGGATAATTTACACAACAGGTAAGACACTAACACATCTAGTACTTGAGCTGTCAACCCAGCAAGAGTGTTATTGTCCCTTTAAACTTCATTAGAAACACTAACTTGATTCGATCTATAATGAAATATGCATAATAATAAAAACACGTTAGGTACATATATAAATAAATAAAACAACATATAGGGCAATAATTAACTTTACCTTAGTAATTGTAGATGACCTTCTGTATGTTCAAGTTCATTAGATAATATTTTATAACGTAAAAGAGATCGCAATTCTATGAATTCGTCGGTGACGTCTCTCTCCCACTGAAACACAGAAATTATAGATAATATTAACACTGAATCACACACACACCATAATCTACGCCACTGGAGTAAATATGATCAAGAGTAACAACCCATGAAGTAATTATCAGAAATGATTAAAATTTTAAGTCAATTGGATGAGAAATTTAGACCCTAGATCGGCAAAGTGCTTTGTTATTGGGGTATCTTTAACCCATTGGGTACCTTTAACGTATTGGGTACCTTTAACGTATTGGGTACCTTTAACGTGATGGGTATCTTCAACGTATTGGGTATCTTTAACGTGTGGGGTATCATTAACGTATTGGGTATCTTTAAGGTATTGGGTATCTTTAACGTGTTGAGTATCATTAACGTATTGGATATCTTTAACGTTTTGGGTATCTTTGACCCATTGGGTATCTTTAACGTATTGTGTATCTTTAACGTGTTGGGTATCTTTAAGGTATTGGGTATCTTTAACGTATTGGGTATCTTTAACGAATTGGGTTATCTTTAACGTATTGGGTATCTTTAACGAATTGGGTTATCTTTAACGTATTGGGTATCTTTAACGTATTGGGTATCTTTAACGTGTGGGGTATCTTTAACGTATTGGGTACCTTTAACGTATTGGGTATCTTTCACGTGTGGGGTATCTTTAACGTATTGGGTATCTTTAACGTATTGGGTACCTTTAACGTGTTGAGTATCTTTAACGTATTGGGTATATTTTTAACGTATTGGGTATCTTTAACGTGTTGAGTATCTTTAACGTATTGGGTATCTTTAACGTATCGGGTATCTTTAACGTGTTTAGTATTTTTAACGTATTGGGTATCTTTAACGTGTTGAGTATCTTTAACGTATTGGGTATCTTTAACGTATTGGGTATCTTTAACGTGTTGAGTATCTTTAACGTATTGGGTATCTTTAACGTATTGGGTATCTTTAACGTGTTGAGTATCTTTAACGTGTTGAGTATCTTTAACGTATTGGGTATCTTTAACGTGTTGAGTATCTTTAACGTATTGGGTATCTTTAACGTTTTGGGTATCTTTCACGTGTTGGGTATCTTTAACGTATTGGGTATCTTTAACGTGTTGAGTATCTTTAACGGGTTTGGTACCTTTTAACGTGTTAGGTATCTTTAACGTATTGGGTATCTTTAACGTGTTGAGTATCTTTAACGTATTGGGTATCTTTAACGAGTTGAGTATCTTTAACGAGTTGAGTATCTTTAACGTATTGGGTATCTTTAACGTTTTGGGTATCTTTCACGTGTTGGGTATCTTTAACGGGTTGGGTATCTTTAAAGTGTTGAGTATCTTTAACGTGTTGGGTATCTTTAACGTTTTGGGTATCATTACCCCATTGGGTATCATTACCCCATTGGGTATCTTTAACGTATTGGGTACCTTTAACGTGTTGGGGTATCTTTAACGTTTTGGGTATCTTTAACCCATTGGGCACCTTTAACGTATTTGGGTATCTTTAACGTGTTGGGTATCTTTAACGTATTGGGTTGGGTAGCTTTAACGTGTTGGGTATCTTTAACGTTTTGCCATGGTTATCTTTAACCCATTGGGTACCTTTAACGTATTTGGGTATCTTTAGCGTGTTTGGTATCTTTAACGTATTGGGTTGGGTAGCTTTAACGTGTTGGGTAGCTTTAACGTATTGGGCATGTTTAATGGAAACTTGATTTTGAGTTCAACCCAAACGACTTTAATCAATCTCCTGGCCATGTAAGCGTAGATAATGAAACTGGGGACACAAGGGAATCGATATTATTTACCTTCAGAGCTTTAGCATGGACGATATCCTCTAAATATGTACAAAACCCTTCTGTCATCCATTCTTCCGTCCAGTCCTTGGGTCCAATGAGAAGACCAAACCAAGAATGACAAAGTTCGTGGGCTACTCTATGAAACATACTATAGTCACCTGATAACACAGACTGAGATAAAAACAGAAGGCTGGGACTGGAAAACAAAAACAAGAAAGCGGGGATGGTATAATATCCAGGCCCGTAACTAAGGGGGGGAGGGGGTCAACACCCCCCTCTTCCCCTGCAAAACGTTTCGCCCCCCCCCCCCCCCACTGTGAAAAAATTGTCGACCACAAAAAAAACCCCTAGATATACAGTGTCCTTCAATTTTACAGCACCCCCGAGATCACTCCCCCCTCCCCTCGTTGCTCTGAGCTAGTTACGGTCCTGAAAATACCACCCATTAACACATTCTACAGTAGATATCGCTTGTGTGATAACTTTAACAATTCCTAAAGTTACAATATTTCATATTTTTAAGTTATATTTTAAAATGTATTAAAACAAAGCCCTAAAATAGGTGGTATCTATAAACAGTCCCACTTTGTTAAAGAATAATCCTATTAATCCTATAATTCACTATTGCCAGTTGAGAAATTGGCAAAAATATCATTTTCATCTTCAAATTCCAACGTTTGAAGATAACTACTCCATGGTGGAGAACAGAAAACAAGGGAGGTAATTGTGTTATTATTTCCGGTGTAAATGAGTTTTAAGTGTGAGAATGACACCTATTGAGCAAAAGACACAGAAATAATTATGTTTTGACTTTCTTAAAAAATATGAAATTGTAACTTTAAGAAACATCGTTTTACATGAATTTGATTGGCAAATTAAAAAGAAACTACTTTTTTATTAAAAAGGAACTACTTTTTGGGTTCAATAAGAAAAGTTCTCATTTACCATAAACAATTACAATACTCCTCATAACCTTAAAGGAACCACCGGGTCAATATATACGACTTTGCAAGTATTGGCTTGCTGTCAAAACATGATGTATAACTATGCCGTAATAAAATCATGACCTTGTTTTACGAAATTTTAACTAAAGATAGAATCCAAATTTTAGTAGATACTTTAATTTTGATTGGCTAAGCACTAAAATCAATCTAATATTATCCAATCAAATTACTAAAATTTGGATTTTTTCTTAGTTAAAATTTCGTGAAACAGGTCCCAGGTTCGGTAAATTTAAATCTATAGCAATAAATTATATTTATTTATTTGTACGTGTAAGAAAGGGTTGAGTGATAAATAAAATCTCATACTTTTTTTATGTCAAAACATATAAACACTCGTCGATAAAGTAAAAAACAACATCGGCTTGTGGTTTGTTTTTTTTGGGTTTTTTGGGGGGTTTTTTGATATCAAAAAGAGACTCGCAGGAGATTCTCCTCGATATATTGGAATTCTTTCTGCATCAACTTAACTGTAAATCATCTTGGAATTCCTTTTTAATAAAATGAATGAATGAAATGGGGTTGAACAGCCTTTAGAATAAAACGTAACTATATCTTATATCGAAATTCCTTTTGAAAAGAAGATACTTTATATCAGATTGGAATTCCCTTTGAATAAAATAAAACTGTATATTAAATAAAACATAGTAGGATTCCTTTTGTTCATATATTTCGGTAAGAGTTGACATGGTTACCTACGTGTACACTAGTCTCGGTCACCCAGAACCTCCTATATTTTTCTGGATGATAGAGACTACGTGTTCGCCCAATACAGTTATTAGAGACTTTTTTTTTTGGCAAGCGTAAATTTCTGGTCCGTATCGCGTATGGATTGTGCATGTGACGTCATCAATGTTTGTGTATTCCTCATACGTGATACGGCACACGGATATGAAAGCACGTATCGAACAGCTTTCATACGGAAAAGTTTCGTATAACATTGTCGTCTTTTTACCGTCCTTTTTGCTACTTTTAGACACTGAAATGTTATATCATAGCGTTTTTATGAATCTACTAGCAGGATACCCGGCTTCGCTCGGAGGTCATAACTCCGAAACCGGAAGTGGTAGACTAACGCCACCTGACCTATGTTACTCCCCGGTCGGAGCTACCACTATACCCCAAATTTCAGACTTGGGGCAGACCTAGTGTAGCCGCCAACCCGGTTTCGCTCGGGGGTCAAAACTCCGAAACCGGAAGTGGTAGACTAACGCCACCTGGTCTATGTTACTCCCCGGTCCGAGCTACCCCTATGCCCCAAATTTCAGACTCGGGGCAGACCTAGTGTAGCCACCAACCCCGAACAGACAGACAAAGAGACAGACAAACGACAGTCACAAATATTAGTATATATAGAAGATGTGTATCCTAGAAGGCGTATATTTGATGTGATTTTAACCATGATCAAGACTTGAATTAAATCATTATTATTCCAACTATTGATGGGTGTTTTTTTTTTGGAACATTCATACTTTTTCTGTCTGTCTGCATGCTGGTTGATCTACGTGCTAAATATATTGGGTGGGACCTTGCCAATCTGTAAATGATTTTATTCTATGGTAAAGGGGTATAAACTTTCTGAAATGATACATTAGTGAAACCAGTAATCTTTTTAATACCTCAGCGACGGCCGAGCGACTTCGCTCCCTCTTAGAAATTCTAGGCTAGACACTCTGTCATCAAGCTGTAATAGAACTAAGCTCAGCTAAGCGATGCATAAGTACGCGACGCGAAAATCTGCACCAAAACTCTAAAACTCCATTGACACAACGTATCACGTATATGATACGGATACGTGATACGGATGGAAAAAAATCCGCTTGCCAAAAGTCTCTATTATTTTAGTGGTGCGTAGCGCGCAATAAATTTATAATTCTAGTGGCGCCTATAGCGCACAATGATGTTATCATTCATCATTTTCTTCTTTCGTTAAATGAGCTTTTGGGGAATAAAGATTGTCTGTAGCATTTCCCTCAATGACAAATAGACATGTTTGTGTTTCTGCCCAAGAACAAAAAAAAATTCTATTTCCCGAAGGATTATCACAGAACTAATGCTAGGTTTCCACTGTCACGATTCGTGCTACGATTGAAATCGTGGTTTTAATCGTGGAGTAATCGTGGTGATTCTATCAGGTCTTATCATATATTGAGGTAGGTCGTAGCAATCGTGTTGATCGTATTGAAACGTATCCGAACGTATCAGATCGTGGACTCAGTAGGGGCAATCCTATCGTAACGCATTGCACGACAGTGGGAACCTAGCTTAAAACAAATTCTTCAAATTGACATTCTGGTAAAAGAATAGCAAGAAAGATTTGTCAATATTAAGGACTGAGAATGAACACAAAGAATATCTACTGTTAATACAGTGCTGGTAACCTTGAGTAAAATAGTTTGTTTGACATTCTCCCCACCCTACTACCCCTCGCCCCGTCTCCCTGTTAATAGATGTTTTTGCTGTCATCACGCTACCCCCGCCCTGTCTCCTTGTTAATACATGTAGATGTTTGTGCTATACCGCTACCCCGCCCGGTCTCCTTGTTAATAAGTGTTTGTGTGTCACGCTACCCCGCCCGGTCTCCTTGTTAATAGATGTTTTTGCTGTCACGCTACCCCGCCCGGTCTCCTTGTTAATAGATGTTTCTGCTGTCACTCTACCCCCGCCCTGTCTCCTTGTTAATAGATGTTTCTGCTGTCACGCTACCCCCGCCCCGTCTCCCTGTTAATAGATGTTTCTGCTGTCACGCTACCCCCGCCCTGTCTCCTTGTTAATAGGTGTTTCTGCTGTCACGCTACCCCCGCCCCGTCTCCCTGTTAATAGATGTTTCTGCTGTCACGCTACCCCCGCCCTGCCTCCTTGTTAATAGGTGTTTGTGATGTCACGCTACCCCGCCCTGTCTCCTTGTTAATAGGTGTTTCTGCTGTCACGCTACCCCCGCCCCGTCTCCCTGTTAATAGATGTTTCTGCTGTCACGCTACCCCCGCCCTGCCTCCTTGTTAATAGGTGTTTGTGATGTCACGCTACCCCGCCCTGTCTCCTTGTTAATAGATGTTTGTGCTGTCACACCACTCCGTCTCCCTGTTACAATTATGACGTATGCTTGGGAATAGTCCATACGTATGAATGACAAGACATCCTTCATTGTGCAATACGCGTAACATATGAATGAAATATTTTCCGGTGTTTTAAAGTTAATTGATAGATTATCAATTGTTTATATATACAACGTTTCGGTAGTTAATATAATGAATAAGGAAATGGCATGAGGTTTAAAGTCCTACTTTTCTTCAACAGTCGCACTAATGAAGACGGATGTGTCATGCAGTGTGTTAAAAGAGAAATTGAATTCCGAGAGTCCGGGGTTCGTTTACTTGCGCGCAAACATGTACACGGGAGATCGGGTTTTCGTCCCATCCGAACGACTAGACCTCCGTCCGGGACAACTGACAAGGGGGAAACCCAGATGGGAAAATTATAACATACAAACCGTTACCGCGGTTTTAATTTACCACAAGGAGTGGTGTCGCCTGTCAAACCTCGTGGTTTTTCTCCGCCCCCCCCCCCGTTCCATTCCTAAGGACCCCTACACGCAAGCGAATTATTGGAATAAAATTGAACCATACGTTAGTCCCGAAATGACCTAGTTTCTGTCGAGTGGACGTCTCTCTCTCTCCCTCTCCCTCTCTCTCTCTCTTTCTCTCTGTGTTTTAATTTACCTGGCCATGCCCAGACTGTCGAAACATTCAGGAACAATCAAAATGTCCAGACGTTGAAATGGATGAGGACCCAAAATATCTTTCACCGCGTTCATACAACTGGGTAAATAAACATTTAATTCCTCTCCGGCATCTTTTAATGACTCTGGTAAGAACAGGCGACAAGGGAGTATATTATTCGAGGAGAAATTCGTCTGACAGTTCGCGCCATGCTTCCGACAGGATGGTAAGGCTGATCTGAAAATAAGGATGTTAAAATCGATAAAACACTAAGAATTAGAATTCCTTAATTGGTTTTTGGTTGTCTTCTGTTTTTCACGCTGGGATATTCAATAGAGGGCACCCACCGACGATAGATTAAAGATACATTATGTAAGATTTAGATAAAGAGCTAATCATTCTTGCTATTATAGCTCAAAAATAGATAATGTAAAATGGAAATATTGAAAATTTCATTCAAGTTACTTCATTCTGAGCCCAGTTATCATTGTTTGTAGTTTTGACAAGATGCGTGCATTGTGGTAACCATGGCCCTGGTATATTCGAGACTTAGCCTCGCTTTCCTATTTTTAAATTAAAGTTTGAAATGGCGTTCTAATCTAGTTAACATCTCGAGTATCCGATGCCTTCGAGAGTTAATTATGGTCTGGGTAAGTTAATTAAAGTCTAATTAATAGCTTAGATAACATTTCAAACCTAAAGAAAGACCTGCAATAGGCAGATTTAGGTCTTGCATAATGTATGTTTAAATAGGCGTCGCCATCTAAAGTGTTAATCAAATAATAATAATAATAATAATAATAATAAGGTATATTTATAATGCGCAAATTTCGATACACTTGCATGCTCAAGGCACGAAACACAATGTACAGTATATATCTTTCACTATTAACACAACAGGGCCCTTATTCACGAAAACTTAAACTGAGTTACAACCGAAATTTTAAGAAATACTGCAACTTCATTAGATATATGCAAATTGATTTTACTGGTCAGCCAATCGAATTGCAGTATTTCTTAAAATTTCGTGAATAAGGGCCCAGTATATTCGGTCAAATACAACTATATTCACAATTAAACAGATGGGCCTTTAATTCCCCTAAAAATGGAATGGTGCTTAAGGAGGGGAATATGGTAACATAAGGTAAAGAGTTGACAATTCTCGCTATAATAATTAAAAAATTAGATAATGAAAACAGAATGTGCTGAAAATTCAGTCAAAATACTTCACTCTGAACTGAGATATTAGCGATTCAATTTAGGCTAGCCTCGTTGGTACGATAATAAATCATCCATCATAAAAGGTATTCAAATCCACTAAACATCGCAGGCTAGCGATGGCATCGAGACTTGATTATGGTCTGGATAAGCTAATTAAACATACATTATGCAAGAGCTAAATCTGCCTATTGCAAATCTTTATTTAGGCTTCAGATGTTATAGAAATTATTAATTAGACCTTTATTTACATGGACAACTCAAAATCAACTCTGTAGAACCTCGGATGGCTTGGATACAGCTTGGATTTAAACAGTCGTCCATTCAAAATTAAATCAAGAAATGGCCGACAGAGAGAGAGAGAGAGAGAGAGAGAGAGAGAGAGAAATGGGATTTAACGTCCACACGACACAAACTAGGTCATTTCGGGACTAACATATGGTTTAATTGTATTTCAATAATTCGCTGGCGCGTATAGGGGTCTTTAGCAGTGGGAGGAAACCGGGGGACCTGGAGAAAACCCACGAGGCTGGACAGGCGACCCTACTCCTTGTCACGTACAACCGGGGGTTCGAAACCACGCCAGTTGACTCAATGACAGGTCTTATGATATAGCACGCACATGCTAACCATTCGGCCATCCAACCCCCCGAAATGGCTGACCATGGTGATGAAAGGTCTATCAAGCGAGGGTATCATAGCCATTGAGAATGTTACTCAATAATCGAGAATATGTGGGTGGAGTTATCGTCTATCAATCAAACGATCGACAATTCTCGTAGACGGTGCGGACACAGTTGATGCCTAGTTCTAGTCCAAACTTCCAACAGTGACAACTCCGTCCAGAATAAAATAATTTGACTGAAATTTTCAATATTTTCTTTTTTATCATCTATTTTTGAATTATTATAGCAACTCTTTATTAAAATCTTAACGAATGTACCTTTAATGTCTAATTAATAATTCATATAACATTTAAGGCCTAAGGAAAGACAGCAATACAAAGAGAGAGAGAGAGAGAGAGAGAGAGAGAGAGACCTTGTAAACAGAAACGTGGCCTTTAGTCAAAACTTTAAACTATTAAAGAATCGAGCGCGCTAACGTGCACGCTGACATTTATAGCATTAAATGGCCGCCAGGTAAAATTCATGAAGAAATATAATAACCGCTATTATTATATCGCTCGTCTAAATTAGATAACTTACACATCATCGGTATCATTGCCACGAGACACAATCACCACTTCCGTCCATTCTCCACAAGCAATAGCTAAAGTTGAAGTAGGCATCGACATTGATGTATAGAAAAAATAAGCCTTGAGCTCTAAATGAAAATAATATTTATTAATAATCATTGTATTAACGTGCACAACGGAATTATTCAGTGTGTGTATATTTAATTAGATATATTGATGACGTATAACGACACGGGTGCTTTAATTTAGAACCAGAACAACGTCACTGATATTTATTCTAATTATCTCGTGCATCTCTCTAAGTGAAAACAAGAGGAATAAACAAGATAAATCTAGGAATATCAGAGACTGAAGCCCATCAATATTCATCATTAAACATTCTAATTGTCCGCATATTTCTAAACTCGACATTCCTTAATAAACAGGGAGACCCGGTGGCTCTGTGAGTGGGACGTTCTCTCCCTAACCTGGAGGTACCGTGTTCGATCCCTGCGAGGACCGAGAAAGTATATCGGGAATTTTCGACAAGGTTCCAACTTGTCAGAGTTGCAGGACAGAGGGGTTGACCAGGGAAACCCATAGTTGTTCGGATGGAACAAAAAAACCGAGGTCCCGTGTACACATTGGCGCGCACGTAAATCTAATTTTCTGCACCAGTTTCGCTAGTGATATTAGAGTAGGCCAGAGTGCCGCTGTTTAGGCAAAATTTCCCCTCATAGCACACTGTATGTCGCATGCCCGTCTTCAATGGCCCAGTCGGAGCAGAACAGTAGGACGTTAAACCCCATTTAATTTCATTAATGAACGCTATTGGTAGGGCGTTAAAGACCCTCCAACAGTTGGGTATTTAAACAAGAGAAGATAGAAGGACTGTTGGGGGTGGGGGGGGAGGGATGGCCTAATGGTCTACAGTGTCGTGCTTCGATCTCTATGTGAGGGTATGTGGCTTGGAGATAGGGGCGCCTTCTCAACCTCGTGGGTTTACTGCGGGGACTTCGGTTTCCTCCCACAGGAAAGACCCCTGCGCATGCGCTAAGATTATAAAAATGAAAATAAGACAACTTGTCTGCGATATCACCTTCGGTGTAGCGGACGTTAAACACAACGAACAACAACGTAAGACTGCTGTATGGGCAACACTTGCTATGCCCAGCTTTATTAACCCCGGGATCACGATGACTAAATGGGTAAGACGCTGGCTCGCTAGCCTGGAGGTCGGGTGTTCGATCCCTGTATAGGCCGAGAAAGTTTCTGGCGTGGTTCCCCCTTGTCAGTGATGCAGGATGGAGGGCCTGACAAGGACAGCTGTCTAGTCGTTCGGATGGTCCCGTGTACACATTGGTGTGCACGTAAAAGATCCCTTGGCAGTTGGAATTCGATATAAGAGTAGGCCGTAGTGCCGCTGCCCGGGCAATATTTCCCTCGTAGCACACTGAATGGCGTATGCCCGTCTTCATTAACCCAGGTTAGGAGCAGAACAGTAGGACGTTAAACCCCATTTCATTTCATAACGTTGGAGGAGTTATAACATCTCTTGAAACCACAATAAGTTTATATTATTTACTATGTGAGGATAGGTGGGGAATTTTGTCAGGGCAGCGGCGGTGTGTACATGTTTATTCCCTACTGAGCGACTAACAGTGATCAGTTGCAAGTACATGCAGGCCCGTAGTTAGTGGGCGGGGGGCGCAAGAGGGACAGCTGCCTCCCCTGGAAACATCTGGCGCACCCAATGGTGCCTTTGCCCATTGGGGAAAGAATCGGTTCCCCCAATGGACGCCTTTGGTGTCATTTCCACTGGATGCAATACGAAGCCAGCAACAAACGGGCCCCTCCTCCCCCACCCCCTTAAAGAGACAATAACACTCTTGCTGGCTTGACAGCTCAAGAAAATAAATGATGGCCTTATTCTAAGTATTAGATGTTTAAGTGTCCCACCTGTTGTGTAAATTATCCATTACATCCTATTTTACTTGTCCAGAGGGTTCGAAAATATTTTTAAATCCAAGTCACATTTGAAAAGGATTACGTTAGGCTTTTCAAATCATTTAGTTGAATTTTCCAATTTTTTAAATTAGGTGTGTTAAGATGAAATTTGTATCATCAATTAATTGGAATATTGTAAAATAGTACAATTTGTTAACCAGAATAAAGATTGGGACATATTATTCAGTTACAACAAGAGTGGTATTGAGCCTTTAACTACGGACCTGAATTCTTTTCCCGAATCATATTAGGTCACTGGACAGTGGATAGTAGGATTGCCGACTGATTACAGGTGCGTTAATCTTCACGATCTACTTTATTTGCAGGCAGATTCAGGACGAGATCAGATCGGTTGGTTAGGAGTCAGGCCGGTTGGACAGGAGATCACGTTGGTTGGAAAGGAGATCACGTCTGTTGGGTAGGAGATCACGTCAGTTGGCAAGGAGATCACGTCGGTTGGGGACCAAAACACGTATGTTGGGTGGAACATCAGGTCGGTTGGGGAGGAGATTACGCCGGCTGGGACGGGATCACGTCTGCTTGGTAGGAGATCACGTCAGTTGGGAAGGAGATCACGTCGGTTGGGGAGGAGATCACATCTGTTGGGTGGAACATCAGGTTGGTTGGGGAGGAGACCCCGCCGGTTGGGACGAGATCACGTCTATTGGATAGGAGATCACGTAAGTTGGGAAGGAGATCACGTCGGTTGGGGAGGAGATCACGTCGGTTGGGGAGGAGATCACATCTGTTGGGTAGAACATCAGATCGGTTGGGGAGATCACGTCTGTTGGGTAGATGCTAGGAAGAGATCGGGATGTAGTTGGGTATAGGAGATCAGGTCTGTTGGATAGGGTATTGGGCCAGTTGGGTAGGATAATCAGACCAGTTGGGTAGGAGATCGGACCAGTTGGGTAGATCAGGCTGGTTGGTGATCAGATCCCGATGGACTGATAAGAGATCGGGCAAGTTGGATAGGAGATCAGGCTGGTTGGGGTTGTCTTGATGATTTCCCTTATTTCCCGAACCAACCTGATCATCCCCTACCCACCTGATCTCCTCAACCACCCTGACACCAAGGTTACTATGGAAACCACTCGGGTATTGAACCCATGATATTGTAAAGTTTTCTACATATATATAGATAAAGCCAGGCACCGAGTTCACAAAACATTCTCAGACTTTAGTTAAGAATTTACTCAAAATTGTTCACCTTATTTTAACTAAAACATAGCCCTTTATAAAACTTTGGTTATTTTAATGTATCAAATACATCAATAATTAAGAAACCATGTGCAAAGTTTTGTGTTTCTTGATCAAAGATATTTCTCATAAACAGTGACTGAAAGTTGAATAAATTCTCAACTTAAAGGGGCTAAATTGCTAACATTTGGGACCTAGAAATTGACACAAATAGGTCGCAACGCACATAATAATGTAATATGAATGTATATTAACCAATTTGCATTCAATCGTTTTTACTCTAATTTCTAATGGTGCTCGAAAGCATTCTGACACGCGATTCGTGTACCAATGGTAAAATGGTTTTTTTTTTACTTAAATATTGGTTTCCAGAAGCCCATCTTTTCCCGGTAAGATCACAACATCAATGTTGATTTAAATTGACAAATAATTCGTGTTTTCAATGTCGCAGACTTTGGATGATATTGAGTTGGAGACTTTTAACTACTTTAAGTCTGAGAATGCTTTGTGAAACGGCCCCGGGTGTTTTTATTACTGAGATAACAAACCATCACTTGAATATTTATCTATTAATTTCCCCGTTTCATCTCCACTCATCAGGACAACTTGATTTGTTTCAGCACGAATGATCGCCTGCCATGTTGGCATCGCTGACGGTGCATCTTGACTGGGAAACAGGGAGCGGTTATTTATCCAGTGGCCAATGGTAAACCCACATGATCTGTAAACAATAGGACATACGGAATAACAACATTTTCGAGGAAGGGAGATTTCAACCCACGCAATTAATGGAAGAGTGGGCGATCTCTTTTTTTTCTCCACTGCCTTCAAATTAAGCAACACATGTTAAATGAAGCCCATTGGGAGTTATTTTCAAATGTTTTTATAGGTTTAAATCTAGTTCTACTTACTAAACTGTCAACCCAAACATATAAAAGACCGTTGCAAAATTTCAACATTTGTGTCCAAACACTAAACCATGTATAGATCTCGGCCCACACACCCACTTGCGCAGACAGATTAAAAACTGTTGACATATATCCATTATTTTTCAATATTCGAAAACCGACATTTGATTTATTATTTTCTATCTTCGGCATCGTTCAACCCACGTACCCAATTCCGCGGGTTATTCGTTGTGTGACGGTCCATATATTACTCCACCATTTCTTTGTGTAAATGCTTAAAGCAAAAGGCGGGTTAGATGGCCGAATGGTTAGCACGTGCGCGCTGTTTCACAGGTTCTGTTATTGAGTCAACTGGCGTGGTTTCGATTTCCCGGTTGTACGTGACAAAGAGTAGGGTCGCCTATCCAACCTCGTAGGGTTTCTCCCGGTTCTCTGGTTTTCTCCCACTGCTTAAGACCCCTACGCGCAAGCGAATTATTGAAAAAAAAATTGAACAATGTGTTAGTACTGAAATGACCTAATTTGCGTCGAGTGGACGTTAAAACCCCATTTCTCTCTCTCTCTCTCCAAATTGGGCCTCACAAAAGTCCAAATTATTTCACCACTAAAACAATCATCTTGTTTATGACTCTCTCTCTCTCTCTCTCTTTCTCTCTCTCTCTCTCTCTCTATCTCTCTCTTAAAGCAAAACCTGTAGTTCGTGGTTAGATCTATTTGATAAGGCCAACTTCAAGTTTGGTCAATGGTCACGTACAATCTGTTTCACAGAGAATTACGAGTCTAGTGATATATCTCTGTCAAAGATGACTGTCTTAACACGTGCTGTCACAGCACGCGGCGTCAATCATTGGCTGAATGGCGCGTGCATTGTTTACATAAGACGTTACTGCTTCGGAGAAAATGCTGCATTTTAGTCATTTTAATACCCATTTACACTAAATAGGAAATAATTTTTACCTACAAATACGTCAAACGTCTTTATTTATTTTTCCAATACATAAAAAAAATGTTTTAGAATTTGATTTGTTGCAGGAAAAAAGTTAATATTTCTGGCTCATTAAGCCGCATCGATGTCATCCTTATCAGTGATTGTTGCGGCCTAGCAAATATTCACTGCGGATCGGTGTGGGTCACGTGATGTAACCCTAACCCTGGACCTAGAATTAATGCTTACCCTAACCCTTTATCTACAATCTCGCCCACAATCACGTACCCAAACCTTATTTACATCTCAGCGACCTTGAAGAAAATTGAGCTGATCTTTTAACAAAAGAAATTAGCCGCTGTTCGGTGGGTTTACCATGTTGTATTCGTGACCGAGCCCGGAGTTACGGCGGCCTTGTTGCGTATGGTGTTGTCTCACTAACCTAAGTGTGCCGATTCGGGATGTGGTCATAACGGCCTCAAGCCATAACGGTCAAAATCCAATTTGGTCAAACCAGTTCTACTTTAGACACAACGGCCAAACAAGTTGGTCTTAACGGCCAAAATTATTGGTTAAATTTTTTGGGCGTTATGTCTAATTTTTTGGGCCGTTTTGGTTTAGGGCTGTTATGTCCATAACCAGCATGTTCGACCCGGGTGTTGGCCGCGAAAGTTCCACGAAGTTTTTAGCTGGGGTACGATACACGGGAGATAACTCCTATTAACCGTGTTTGCAAAACTTAGCAATAAAAATGTACACGTTGGATGTTTACCACAAAACTTAATCAGCTTGCTCCCACAAACACAAATTTGAAATACGTCGGCAGCAGAGATATTTAATCATAGCCATAACCACATACATGCAGCTTGCTACTAGCACCAACTTCAGATACTTCAATAACAAGAAAGAGAGAGAGAGAGAGAGATGGGAGAGAGAGAGAGAGAGATGGGAGAGAGAGAGGGAGGGAGAAATGGGGTTTAACGTCCACTCGACACAAACTAGTTCATTTCGTGACTAACATATGGTTCAATTTTTTATTTCCATAATTCGCTTGCGCGTAGGGGTCTTTAGCAGTGGGAGGAAACCGGAGAAAACCCACGAGGTTGGACAGGCGACCCTACTCCTTGTCACGTACAACCGGGGATTCGATATTTCAATAACAATCAACGCATTACCTTTTTGTTTTTATCCCTAACTACTTAGCTTCCTACAGTCACCAGTTTGCGTTATTTCAGAAAATACGAATTTTCTCATTTTCGGACAGATATTTCAAACTAAAACCCAAACAGGTTGGCGAAAACTGCGATGCACCAACAAATATAAATACACTTCAAACCGGTATTATTATCTACCTAAAAGAAAGACCTGATTATACTTACTTCCCATCCACATCTTTGGTCCATTTAAAAGATTTTCCATTTGCTGTTATGGCATATTTAATTTGTACAACTTCCGGGAAACTTGAAACCGAACTCACGCCGGGCTTCCATGTCTTCAAACAATGTTTTTCAACCACAAATTCTAAAGGTTGTCCTTTCTGATCCATGTGACTCATATAAAACCCGTTTTCATTTTTTATGTCAGCTTTCTTTTCAACATGGGTGTGTGGAACCCTAAAACTATCAGAACGTTTTAATTCTTCCACAGAAATAATTTCGAGATCACAGCAGTCTAATATTAACACAAAGTCTCTGGTGGATCGTTCGGGGTGTTGCTCGTCAGTTTCCGGATCTGGCGGATTTTGTTTACCCAAGATGTTATGGGTTGATGGTTTGTTGTGGGGCTCGCTGGTTCCCGGATCGGACGGATTCTGTTTATCCAAGAAGTCTTGGGTTGATTGTTTGTTGCGGTGCTCGCTAGTTCTCGGGTCTGGCGGATTCTGTTTACCCAAGATGTCATGGGTTGATGGTTTGTTGCGGTGCTCGTCAGTTCCCGGATCTAACGGATTCTCTTTACTCAAGAAGTCTTGGGTGGATCGTTCGGGGTGTTGCTCGTCAGTTCCCGGATCTGACGGATTCTGTTTACCCAAGAAGTCTTGGGTTGATTGTTTGTTGCGATGCTCGCTAGTTCCCGGATCTGACAGAATCTGTTTATTTTTGACGGTGTAATTAGAGTTTCCTGTAGTGTGCCCAAAGAAGTCTTTGTCGGATTGTTGGGAGTGCTGCTCGTCTGTCAGATTTTGTTTACTTTTAACGATGTCAGTTGGATTACACGTCGTTGACGCCAAAATGTCTTGGGGGGATTGTTTGGGTTGGTGCTCATTAGTTATTTCATCCGACATATTTCGTTTAACAGCATCATTAGAGATATCCGTCGCAGGCCGCAAGAAGAGAATGATAGACTTGGTACCTTTTACGTCACAATTCCAGTCAAGTATAAAATGGTGGACAATAATATCTCTGATATTTGCGGAAAGGGGTAGATCTAATTCATGCCCCGTCGTTGAATTAATGGCATTGGCCATCTTAACATATAACACTATAAACCTTGAACACAAAACAGACGATAGATCCGAACTAACAAACTACCAGAAGAAAATTTGGGGGGTTTCGCGATGGATAGCCTATAAATTTCGGTCGAAAGGTATAGAGATACAAGGTCTTTATATAAAATAATAGTAGACCCACGGCAGAAATTTTGTTTTCAAACCATGTTTGTTATGTTTAGGGCGATCCGCTATCAGCTCTATATGGTACACAAATAATTGAACAGACCGATAAATATCCTATTGAAAATTGCAATTTAAATGGTCCAAGGGCAAGAACAAACTAACGCCAGTAACATCCAACGATTGACAGTGTTGCATTGGATATTGAGTGTGTGCAGTCGTAACTCCTAACTTAGTATTACTTCGTTTCGTTTTCAAGTTCTGGTATAACCCTTATCTCGCTATGTAAAAAAGACAAAACTGACCAAGAAAGACAAACATAAGCGTGTCATCCATAAACTGGAAGTTAGTTATATATTAATATTTATAAACATACCGGTACATTCATTATGCAAGAGGTATGAGCTGGTGATCGGGGCTAGGCCTAAAATTCAATCGATAATATCTCGGTTCAGGGTGGAGCAATTTGACTGAAATTTTCAGCATATTCCCTTTGCATTATCTAGTTTTTAACTATTATAGTTAGAACTGAAAACTCTTTATCTAATCTTCCATAACGCCCCTTTAATAATGGACACGACTCTCTCCGTATATCATCATACAGTACAGATCTTACTAATGATTCTAAATAACGTTATAAGACTTCTCCCTTTCAGAAGTTCAACAGTTTACATCGATATCAAACTGCATGTAAAACTAACATCATATCGCGATATGCACCCTCACTTTCAACTGTCATGACTGTATTTTCAAAATAACACACAAATTGTAAATTCGCCATGAGATTTCCCACGGTGTTTGTTTATATTTTCTAAACGTTAAAGTTTCCATAAAGGGAGATAACACATTTGTAATTTTATAAATTTAAAAAAAATATTTGGCTCATTATTATTCCACTTGTGTCTTTGACAAATAAAGTAATATTATTATCCATCTTATTTTTAAAAAATAAAATTAAAACAATATTTGCCACAGTTCTCTTTACTTTTCATTTAAATTTCGTAAATTGGATATCTATATAGTAAAATGTATTATTTAACTTGTGTCTCTGACAAATTAAGTAACAATAATTTTATCTTTTTTTTAAAATGTACAGATTTTCTTTACATCTGAGATACATATAAACAATCAGGCTTGACATAGTAGGTGCATATAATCTGAAGAAATGGGCTAATAAACTGTGATGTTTTTAAGGAAATACCCAATTGGAAAATACACATATTCACATAATTCAATAATTTTAACAATCAAAATATAAGATTAGTTTCCTATTAGTCATTGATGACAATCTGGGTTGAGAGTGAGAGAGAGAGAAATGGGTTTAATGTCCACACACAAACTAGGTCATTTCGGGACTAACACATGGTTCAATTTCATTTCAATAATTCGCTTGTGCGTAGTTGTCTTTAGTTAGCAGTGGGAGGAAACCGGAGAACCCAGGGAAAATCCACGAGGTTGGGCAGCCGACCCTACTCCTTGTCACATACAGCCGGGGAATCGAAACCACGTCAGTTGACTCAATGACAAACCTTATGATGCAACGTGTTAACCATTCGGCCAACCAACCCTTCAGTCCAGTTTGAGTCAGAAATAGCCAGTAATTTGGTAATGAACTGGAAATTGGTCAATAAAACGTGATGTTTTTAAAGGGAAATATACAAGTACAAAGATTCAAATCTGAATAGACCAGAATTAACTTACAAGGTATCAAGTAGATAGTAATACACATTAAAGATTCAGTATGTAAGATTTAGATAAATGAAATGAAATGAAATGCTCCTTTATCCTGGGCTAATGAAGAAGGGCATACGCCATACAGTGTGCTATGAGGGAAATTTTGCCCGATCAGCGGCTATGGCCTACTCTTATATCGAATTCCAACTGCCTCGATTGTTACCCTTGTTAGATAATAAACAAAGTCTTGATTATCCATGTTAAAATCATCAATGGCAAATAGTATTTAAATACATTGAAAATCTAGACTATCTGATGGCATCGAGAGTTGATTAGGGTCTTGGTAAGTTAATTAATGTCTAAAAAAAGACCTGCATTTGGCAGATTTATCTCTATATAATGCCTGTTTAATTATTTTATTCAATATTATTTACAGTATAATGCCCAGTCTAAAATGTCTGACTTGTTTCCATGGTGATGGATGACTTGCTCTGGTTGAGTCAGAAATCCAAATTTATCAGAAAAACAGAACAAATTTCTGAACATTTGAAATTCTAGAAACCCAACAAAAAGCAGGACCTTAATGTTGGACTTTCCTCTAAATCTGAATCGATTAGAAAAACTGAAAAATGTCAAATCTTGCAATTTGGTAAGCGAGAGCCAGACACTTCAGATTGTATAATTTATCAATCTATTTAAAACACAGATCCTATTTCATTTCATTTTTTATAGTTCAAAATTTCCTTTTACTTGTCTTTACTACACTAGGATCTGGAAAAATTGTTATATTACCGGCATATTGGTTGAAGTGAAGGATAAGCCAATGAAACAGTCTATTATGGCGACTTCTTGGCGTGACATGCACGCAACTGTGGGTAAACCACTAGAAACGCTAACGCTGATTGATTAATCAATGTCTGACGTCATAGGGTGAATAGCCGCTCGTACGACCCCTGACACGACAGGAGAGGCCATTAAAGTATAACAAAAACGAAACGAAATATAGATCTGTATTGTAATCAAACTGATAATTTATGTGTTGGTTTGTACACAAAGTAAAACTTACAAAAAATAAACAAGAAAAACACACAGAATAATAATTTAAAATATTATATATAGATGTATGTACAATAAAATCAATACACTGTTATAGATACATAATGCATGATTTATATAAAGAGCTGGTCGTTCTTGTTATAATAGTTCAAAACAGATAATGAAAAATGAATATATTAAAATTTCATTCAAATTACTTTTTCTGAGGATAGTTATGAGTGTAGGAAGATGTAGCGTTGATAGTTTATTATCGTAGCTATGCTACTGGATAAAGGAAATTAAGTCTTGATTACTCATTTTGTTGATTAATTTTTAAACCTGCGGGCATTCTATACTATTTAAATCATAAATCACTGCCATCCGATTGTCCAGAGAGTTGATTACGAGAGAGAGAGAGAAATGGGGTTTAACGTCCACTCAACACAAACTAGGTCATTTCGGGACTAACATATGGTTTAATTTTATTTCAATAATTCGCTTGCGCATAGGGGTCTTTAGCAGTGGGAGGAAACTGGATGACCCGGAGAAAACCCACAAGGTTTGACAGACGAGAGTTGATTATGGGCTTGTCACATGAATAAATGTCTAATTATAAGTTTATGTATTATTTCAAGCCAAAAAAAAGACCTGCAATAGGAAGATTTATCTCTTTTATAATGGATCTTTAACATTAACGAATATATGTACAATAATATCAATAAGTTGTATTATATTCACTATCGATCTGGTGAATACGGTTCTAATAAATATCTAGAAAAAGATTTTATTCTTTCTACTCCTCGAACTTCCTCTTCTTGCAATGGTAACTTTGTCACGTTAAAATCTTCATATAGATCATCAATCTAAAATTATAAAATGTCACAAGTCATCGATGTAAAATAACAGAATATCACAAGTCATCAATGTAAAATAATAGAATACCACAAGTCATCAATGTAAAATTATGAAATACCATAAGTCATCGATCTAAAATAATGGAATACCAAAAGTCATTGATTTAAACTCCAACCTTTTTCTACATAAGTCTGTGGACGGGGATGACTACTTTTCTTGTGGGGAGCTTGTGTGGCTAAGTGGGTAAAATGCTGGCTTGGTAGCTTGGAGGTTGCGTGTTTAATTCCTATATTGGTCGAGAAAGTTCATCAGGATATTCCGACGTGGTTTCCCCTTGTCACTGGTGCAGGACAAAGGGACTGACAGGGGCAACTGTCTAGTCATTTGTATGGGATAGAAAACCGAGGTCCCGTGTACACATTGGCGTGCACGTAAAAGATCCCTTGGCAGTTGGAATCGAATATAGGAGTAGACTATAGCGTCGCTGTCCAGACAAAATTTCCCTCATAGCACGCTCTATGGTGTCGGAGAAGAACAGTGGGATGTTAAACCCCATTTCATTTCATTTTATCTTGTACTGCAAATTTTAAACCATATGCGTTGGCTTTAGAACTTATGGTCTATCATTGAGTCAAGTGGCATGGTATGGATACCCAGCTAGTACATGACAAGGAGTCGAGTCAACCTCGTGGGTTTACTTCAGCTCCTCTGACTACCTCTATTTTCTAAAGACCCCTACACGCAAGCCCACTTGACACAAACTAGGTCATTTCGGGACGTACACATGGTTTAATTTTATTTCAATAATACACTTGCACGTAGGGGTCTTTAGCAGTGGCAGGAAACCGGAGAACCCAGAGAAAACCCACGAGGTTGGACTCCTTCTCACATTCATCCGGGGAATCAAAACCATGCCAGTTGACTCAATGACAGACCTTATGATACAACGCACACACGCTAACCATTCCGCCATATTCCCCCACCCCCACTAAATTTTAAGCCTTACTCACTTGATCTAAATATTTTTTCTGTATTTTACTTCTAGCTCCACAGAGTTTACAGGGTTGTTCCCCTTTCTTGAGAAAATGAAGTTGATTGACTATAATATTATGTGTGTCAATACTATAACGTGTGAGTTCTTGAACTAAACGCTCCGTCTCATATAACGATAAAAACTCGGCAATACACACACAAACAAACGTCGTCTGATCCTGAAATTATTACAACACATTATTAATACAGATACATAATATCCCAACAGGTGTCTGTACATGATATCACAACAGGCCCTGAGTTCACAAAGCATTCTCAGCATTGTTCGAATTATTTTATCTAAAATATAGTCCTTTATAAAACTTTTGTTGTTTTAATGTATCAAATACATCAATAAGAAACTATGTGCAAAGTTCTCATAAATAATGATTGAAAGTTGAGTAAATTCTTAACATAAGTCTAAGAATGCTTTGTGGACTCGGGACCTGGTGTCTGTACATGATAACCCAACAGGTGTCTGTACATAATATCCCAACAGGTGTCTGTACATCCCAACAGGTGTCTGTACATAATATCCCAACAGGTGTTTGTACATCATAAAAAACGCTTACCCCTTTCTTGGAAAGCTCTATTTCTAAAGTTTTAAAATCTTAAAAAAATGTTAAACAAATAAATAATAATATATATTACATAATTAATACGACAGATTATTAATACCGACATGGTGCATAATAACACAACAGGGATCTGTATGTAATAAATCTACAGGATCCGTACGTAATATTTACAAGGTTCTGTACCATGGGTTCCACATTGGCCATATATGCCGGTCAAGACCTAGTGTTATGGAAAATGAATGTAACTCGATCTGACCCATTAGTCATTTTGCACGCTGTAAAAAAGGCTTTTTTTCAAAACCCAATATTCACAAACATGGCTACATGGCTACATAGAAACACCACCGGCAACTGTACATAACAACCTTACAAATTAGCCACCCAGGGGTATGTACATGAAACCATGTATTAATCCCACCGGGGTCTGTATGTATTAACACCACAGGGGTCTGTACATATTAATCACACAGGGGTCTATACATATTAATCACACAGGGGTCTGTACATATTAATCACACAGGGGTCTGTACATAACAATGATATAAGCGTCAATCCATAATAATTCCACAGGGGCCTGTATGTATTAATTACACAGGGATCTGAACACCACTATAGCACCATCGCTGTTCTCCTATTCTCCTGTTGCCTCGCAAATATCAACAGCTCATGACTGGAATTCAACAAAGCTTGTTCTAGATGTAGTTGTCGAACTTGTTTACCCAAATCAAAATTCATTTTAAAGTTTGGATAAAAATATTAAAATATAAGTAAACCATTACTTACTGCATTTTTAAATTGTTCATTAACTTGTCTGATTGTGGCTAACATTTCATCAAGTTTAGATGACATTTGATCAGCATTAATATCCTGCATACCCAATAAACCTCCTATCTATAAAATATACATAATATAACAACATTTATATCCTACATACCCAATATACCTCTTATCTATAAAATATATAAACAAATCAATTAAAGATACATTATGGGAGATTGGATAAAGAGTTGACAGTTCTCACTATAATAATTAAAAACTAGATAATGTAAAGGCAATTTGCTGAAAATTTCGGTCAAATTGATCAACTATGAAGCGAGAATTTAGCGATTGAATTTTGGACCTAGCCTCGATCATCATTACTAAAGTCGGTACGATAAAAAACATAGTCTCGATTAGCCATTTTTGGATTTAATCATCAATGAGCCTTGAGCAGCAGATCGGATTCAAATCCAGTGAAAATCCAACACATAAGATGGCATGGAGGGTTGATTATAGTCTGGATAAGTTAATTAATGTCTAATTATTAATTAATAATTTACATAACATTTCAGCCCTAAAGAATGACCTGCAGTAGGCAGATTTAGCTCTTGCATAATGTATGTTTAATCTAACAACATTAATATCCTAAATGCCCAGTAAACCTCCTATCTACAAAATATATACAGGGTGACCCCGCAAAAAAAACAGAACCCATAAAATTTTTATTAAATTTGCTGGACTTAAACTGTGTACGATCATTCCCCATTGTATTAAAGTCATGTTCTTTCTAAAATATACTCCAAGTGGCGTTGGAGACAAACTTTGCATACGTCATGCAAAATTGTCAATTACTCGAACACAATTCTGCTCACATTCTCCTCTTTTATATGAGTATCCCCAAGGCCTGGGCAACAGATGGGATGAAAAACAAAGGTTCCTTGTTTACCACTGCTAACACCATAAACATTCACAGACAGCTGGTAACCGAAATAAGAGTAGAGCGCAGCACAGTTGTCAGGCCAAAATTTCTCTCATATCAAACCGCATGGATTATACCCATCTTCATTAGCAGCGGAGATGCACTCCATATCATTTCTTTTTATTTACTTGGGAGCCACGGTGGTTAAGTGAGTCTGGAGGTCGCAGGTTCAAGCCTGGTGTTGGTCAGAGAGAGAGAGAGAGAGAGAAATGGGGTTTAACGTCCACTCGACACAACTAGGTCATTTCGGGACTAACATATGGTTTAATTTTATTTCAATAATTCGCTTGCGCATAGGGGTCTTTAGCAGTGGGAGGAAACCAGAGGACCCGGAGAAAATCCACGAGGTTGGACAGGCGACCCTACTCCTTCTCACGTACAACCGGGGATTCAAAACCACGCCAGTCGACTTAATGACAGACTTTACGATACAGTGCTCGCACGCTAACCATTCAGCCATCCAACCCCCCTGGTGTTGGTCAGGGTGGTTTCCCTGTGGTGCTGCAGTGGTGCAGAACGGAGGATCTGACAAGGACAGCTGTCTAATCGTTCGGATGGGACGAATAAACTGAGGTGTCGTGTACACATTGGCATGCACGTAAAAGATCCCTTGGCAGATGGAATTCGATATAAGAGTAGGCTGTAGCGCTGCTGTCCGGGCAAACTTTCCCTCATAGCACACTGCAGGCACGTCTTCATTTTATATACTTACGCGCGACAGAATTTCATTTCAATACCTAATCTAGTCAATTTCTATAAAACCAAATCTATAAACTAACAATCGAATGCTTGACATGCTGTTTTACTAATACAAGATTAATACGAACCTGTGAAATGAATGGACTGATGTGATTTTTAAGGCGTAACAATTTTCCTAAACCTTTTTCTATGATACTTGGAAAAGATAAAAGTCTTAATGTATGACCTGTTGGAGCTGTATCAAACACTACCACCGAGAAGTTCATATTTTTTACTAGTCTGAAAAATAAAACAAATACTGGTATATTAATCAAGAGAGAGAGAGAGAGAGAGAGAGAGAGAGAGAGAGAGAGAGATCCACAAGACCTAAACTAGATCATTTTCGGGCCTAACATACATGTATGATTTAATTTTAATTCAATAATTCCCTTACACGTAAGGGTCTTTAGCAGTGGGAGGAAACCGGAAGATCCGGAGAAAACCCACAAGGTTGGACAGTCGACCCTACTCCTCGTCACGTACAATCGGGGAATCGACCATGTGTAAGAACCAAACAGAAAGCTATTTAACTAGTTACTACTTCCAAATAAAATATTTTTTGCATCAATCAAAATCTGACATACCCTTGAGTTAAAACTATCCCATGAAGATATCAAAAGCTATATTTACCTCATAACTTCAGCAAAACTCATTGCTTCATCTATTCCTGGAAATGCTCCTAATAATTCACCAATCATAGACTTTCCCATGTTCACCATATCGCCTAATAAAAAATATATACATAAAGAGAAAGAGAGAAATGAGGTTTAACGTTCACTCGACACAAAGTAGGTCATTTCAGGACTAACATATGGTTCAATTTTATTTCAATAATTCGCTTGCATGTAGGGGTCTTTAGCAGTCGGAGGAAACCAGAGGACCCAGAGAAAACCCACAAGGTTGGACAGGCAACACTACCCCTTGGCACGTACAACCAGGGAATCAAAACCACGCAAGTTGATTCAATGACAGGCCTTATGATACAACGTGCAGGTGCTAACCATTCGGCCATCCAACCACCCCTAATAAAATATAACAATACTGTATATTCTGGTGTATTTTTTACCAAAATATTCACCATTTACCTGTACAGCTCAAAACAGCCAGAAACTTCTGCTTTTGCTACCTAGCATATGTGAATAGCCGTTTAATTGGACCTGTAACTTGGGTGGTTTGAGGTCGTTTAGGAAGCAGATGTTTCGTGCAGTTTCGAGAATGACCACATCACTTTTCTCTGATTGATTCAGGTAACCTGGTGTAGTCAATCTTTACATGTAATGCTAGGTTCTCACTGCTGTGCGATGAGTCACGATCGGTTTGTCCTGATTTGAGTCCACGATCTGGTACCTGCAGATATGTTCGGACACATTTCGATTCTATCAATACAATTGTTATAATTGACCTCAACATATGGCAAGACTTGATAGGAACACCATGATTAAAACCACTATTTCAGTCGTAGCATGAATTGCGATAGTGTGAACCTAGCATAAGAGGTGATAAAGAGTTTATACCATAATGCAGTGGTTCTCAAACTTTTGGTGCCAACGGCACACCTTGGAACACATGAAAAATAGTGGCACACCTGGCTAAATATATATTAAATATATTTAAATCTTGCAAAATAAAAACAAGGCAAGGCATAGATGGCATACGACCATAGACACAGACTAGTCATAGACACATAGAATGACTCAAACTAAATAAAGAAAAACACAGCTATGAACTTAGCATTAGACACCAGTGAATGCTTAACTGGGATCACGTGGTTCTTCGCATTTTCTGATTGTGCCGTTCAAAAATTTCGCGGCACACTTAGCAAGATCTCGCGCCACACCTGTGCCTGGTTGAGAATCACTGTCATAATGTAATGTAGTGGGATTTTCATATAATCTGATTTATTTTTCTGATTTAGATTTAAAAATCATTAACCTACCTTGTTCAAAATATTCATCGGGTAGCTCGGATACACCTAAATTTGGGTCGATTTCCTGTAAAAAAAAAATTTAACATGTGAACTGAGAGTAGAATAACTCTGAAACTGGAAGAGGTAGTGCAAAGCCACCAGTCCTCTGTCACAAGCTGTATCCCAAATTTCAGCCTTTGGACAGTCCTAGTGTAGCCACCAAACGCAACCAGAAAATAGGGGGTTGGATGGCCGAATGGTTAGGACACGCGCTGTATCATAAGTCCTGTCATTGAGTCAACTGTAGGGTGACCCACCATAAATAAATATCTCCATATATCTCGACAATTACGCCACAATATTTATATATATGCGAAGCCCCAAATCAGTTTCACACAATTATAGTCACTAAATAAACGATCATGTTGTACTTAATAAGCTATGACCATTAATCATGTATAAATAATAGACTGAAAACTGGTTCCAAGAGTTGTCCATAACATCCAGACACTTTTGAGTAAAAGATAGGTTACGTGCCCTTGTTTTGAAATTAGTCTCGCTTAACCAGTCTATCGACCATTCTACGTCTGATTGACAGGTCGGGATAATCAAGACTACTTTTTTACGAAACATAACAGAAAGCTAGAACAAGAAATTGAATTTAGAAATAAGCACATAGGTAGCTCAACAATCGTTTTAAGAAGCTTGTAAAAGTAAAATGAAACTACTGCTAGTATCATGTTCCTGTCTAACCCGAGTGATTCAGAGATATTATTTGTACTAAACCAAAAGATGCCGCTCTTAACGGTACAGTTAATATAAAGCGATTTAAAAAATGAAACGAATGTAATTTCTAAATCTGCTGTAATAACCAAGAAGCTTAATTTTACTGCTATTCAAAATCGTCAACAATAAATTTTTTACGGCTGTAATAGTTGATAGATTTGTAGAGAATTGCAAGGGCTATTTATAGTATCATCTGTCAGAAAGTTGGTCTCGGCACGGCAAATGTGCACGCTTCAGTGGTAGTCTCGAACTATCAGCGGTGGACTGTATTTCTGTGAGTACATGGGTCACCCTATCAACTGGCGTGGTTTCGAATCCCCGGTTGTACGTGACAAGGAGTAGGGTTGCCTGTCCATCCTCGTGGGTTTTCTCCGGTTCCTCCGACTGCTAAAGACCCCTACGCGCAAACGAATTATTAAAATAAAATTAAACCATATGTTAGTCCCGAAATGACCTAGTCAGTGTCGAGTGGACATTAAACTCCATTTCTCTCTCTCTCAAACAGAAAATGAGAGCCACATATATATTTAAACTTCTTACCATAGCATACAAATTCTCATATCCCTTTACTAAAGATGGTGTTTTTGAAAACTTCTGATTCATTGCGTCTGAAATATTGTGAGCTGGATCCGTGGAGATTATTAAAACTGAATCTCTGTGACTGGCTAATTGTGAGGCTAAACTGCAGCTGTAAACATAAAATATGAAATGAAATGGGGTTTAACGTCCTACTGTTCTGCTCCTATACTGGGCTAATGAAGACCGGCATATGCCATACAGTGTGTTATGAGGGAAATTTTGCCCGGGCAGTGGCACTATGGCCTACTCTTATATCAAATTCCAACTGCCAAAGGATCTTTTAAGTGCATGATAATGTATACATGGGACCTCAGTTTTTTGTTCCTCCAAACATATAGACAGCTGTCCTTGTCAGGCCCCCCCGTCCTGCACCACTGACAAGGGGGGAAACCACGTCGGATGATCCTGACGAACCTTTTCAGCCAAAGCAGGGATCGAACATGCGCCCACTTGACACAAAGTAGGTCATTTCGGGTCTAACATATGGTTCAATTTTATTTCAATAATTTGCATACGAGTAGGGGTCTTTAGCAGTGGGAGGAAACCGGAGGACCCGGAGAAGACCCACGAGTTTGGACAGGTGACCATACTCCTTGTCACATACAACCGGGGAATCGGAAACTATGCCAGTTGATTGAATGAATGACAGACCTCATGATACAATGTGCACACGAATAAAACCATGAGGGAATTATAGGCCTATATCACTCTGAGGACAGAAGCTAATGAGTACTTCAATAACACAACTTGTGGGCATAGTAAAATAAATACCCCAAAATAGAGAAACTGATAAGTTAATTATATGATAATAATAAATAAGATAAAATAACACGTCAGCAATGAATAAAATTATATTCCCTTATATAACAACGTCAACATTATGGGTAGGCCAACAATAATGAAAGCCAAACTGATGTATATTTGTTGAACCATTAGTGACATTTGAAATTCAGTTATTTGAACTTGCATATTCATGTTTACTTAATACTGTATAAATCTTATTTTACTGACGAAATATTAAAACCGGTACAAAAAAAACTCCACGTAATTTCATTAGAACACGAGACTGGCGCTTTCATTTGTCGTCCAGTTGTTAAGAAACAAACTATTGTGGGTACCTTGTTGTTGTCTTTCCAACCCCACCTTTTCCTCCGACAAATATCCATTTTAATGATGTCTGATCAATAATATTTTGAACAGAAGGATGATATTCTTGTTCAGTTCCACCGTCCATGGCTGCCATTTTTAAAAGGGAGATAACTCTATTTAAAATTGTAAGATAAGTTGCCACTCAACGAAACATTATGATCGACCGATAAAGGTTGAAAATGTTATAAGATTCTATGATATGTAATCAAAGTCCATAACAATAATTTGAATAATTACAAGGGTGACAACTCTAGTTATGAATATCGATGCTATTCTTAGAACAACGCGTAGGGGCCTAGATTTCAAGGAAACTATGAACGTACAGTGTCTAGTTATTAGGATGGGACGAAAAACCGAGACACCTTTTACACGCTGGTGTGCACGCAAACGAACTCTTGATAATTGAAATTCGAAATTATTATATTGGTTTTTTTAATACGATTCTACTCCGTTTTACATCTAGAATACACAGAAATACTAAATAAAGCTATTCAATTCCATTAAATACAGAAACAGAATAAAAACCGGATAGACGGAACACCGGATACACCGGAATTCACGGGAATTCACATACAATCACGGGAATTCACTTTGAAAACATATAAACACCGGAAATCACTTTCAACATATCAGAATTCTCACTTAAAGTAGCTAAGTCTCTAACTCAATATCATTCAAAATCTTCAACATTGAAAACACGATTTATTTGTCAAATTAAATCAACATTCATGTTGTGATCTTACCGGAAAAAATGGGCTTTTGATATCCAATATTTAAGACAAAATAAACATTTTACCATTGGTACACGAATCGTGTACCATAATGCGCTTCAGCGTCAGTTGTATCAAGAGACTCGAGGGACGAGGCCACACTGATCCGCAGTGAATATTTGCTTGGCCGCGACAATCACTGATAAGGATGACATTGATGCGGCTTAATGAGCTAGAAATATTAACTTTTTTCCTGCGACAAATTAAATTCTAAAACATTTTTTGTATATATTGGAAAAATAAATAAAGGCGTTTGACGTATTTGTAGGTAAAAATTATTTCCTATTTAGTGTAAATGGGTATTAAAATGACTAAAATGCAACATTCTCTCCGAAGCAGTTATGTCTTATGTAAACAATGCACGCGTCATTCAGCCAATGATTCACACCGCGTGCTGTGACAGCACGTGTTAAGGCAGTCATCTATGACAGAGGTATTATACAGATTGGGACGAGGCTAGACACATTGCACCAAATTAAACGGCGCATGTAGACTGGAATAACCAGACGCTAGAAATTTGCACTCGCTTGAGACTGCTGGCTTATTTCGCCGAACATAACTGATTTGAAATTGGAGTAAAAACGGAAACCATTGAATGTAAATCAGTTTATATACATTCATATTACAGTATTATATGCGTTGCGACCCACTTTTGTCAATTTCTAGGTCCCAAATGTTAGCGATTTAGCTCCCTTAAGACCTTCGTATTTACTAATATTTTACATTAATAATAAATTACTTTAAATCACCGGGATTCATTTTCTCCCGTCAAAAGGCAAAACCTAGTAACTCACTTTTTTCTTATTTTGAGAAAACAAAGGAAAACGTAATGAATGAATATTAAACGCCAGCTCATCCATTGATTTGACTATTGAGTTACTAGGTTTTGCTGTGGTATACTAGGCAAATGATGGAAGTTGCTAGGTTGTGTCATGGGTGTAACTGCTTACAAAATCAAAAGATTGGAATATCTAGTACAACAACAGGAGGAACATACCCTAGTAACTGCAAATTTGGTCCTAACTCAATTTTGATTTTAAAGAAAAGTGAGTTACTAGGTGTTGCCTTTTGACGGGAGTTTTGAAAACATATTAACATTGGAATTTACTTTCAAAATATCGGAATTCGTACTTAAGACCTTCGTATTTACTAATATTTTACATTAATAATAAATTACTTTAAAACACCGAAAATCACCGGAATTCACATTGAAAACATACAAACTCCGGAATTCACTTTCAAAATATCGGAATTCGCACTTAAGACCTTCGTATTTACAACTATTTTACATTAATAATAAATTCACTTTCAGAAAATCGGACATTGAAAACATATAAACACCGGAATTCACTTTCAAAATATCGGAATTCGCACTTTACTTATATTGTACATTAATAATAAATTACTTTAAATCACCAGAATTCACTTTGAAAAAATCGTAATTCGCCCCAAGACAATTGTACTTACATTTTGCATTAATATTAATACCAGAATGTATCTACTGTAAAACGATATTTCCAGATGGTCATCTCGCGAAACACAATATGATTAGAACGCAGCAGTAATCCATGTAAAACTTCAAACCGAACAATTCTCGAATGTGGAGCAAAACGTTCTCAGTGTAGATGAGCTAAGTTTATTCGAAAATTAACATTGTAATAATAAGCCAATCAAATAAAGTCTCATCAATAATAGTTTGGATATTTTCACAGATAATCCGTTGTAGCATGAAGTAGCCCAGATTGTAAATTGTCTTGTACAACTAACCAGAAGCAAAATTTCGGCTTAATCCTTACTCATTATTTAAATCAACACTGACGTGTTCAGTAGTTATTTTAATAATTAATTTGCAGTGGATATGAAGTTCATATTTATGTTTAACCTGTTTGTTGACAGGACCTTTTGTTGATTGCCTTTAATCATAGACAGGAACTAATCATATAAACGATATTGACTGATCCTTATAAGAAATATAGAAATAGATTTCACTAAAAATAAACACACTTATATGGATATACTTCTTCTGAATTTTATTAACATGCTACGTTTCAATACACATATAGGTAACAAAAATTTGGTGCAGGGGTCTTTAGCAGTGGGAGGAAACCGGAGGACCCGGAGAAAACCCACGAGGTTGGACAGGCGACCCTACTCCTTGTCACGTACACCCGGGGATTCGAAACCACGCCAGTTGACTCAATGACAGGCTTTATGATACAGCACGCGCGTAATAACCATTCGGCCATCCAACCCCCCCATCTGGTATAAAGATATTGTCTAAGGTATAAAGGTTGTGGCTTCGATCCCTGGTGTAAGCGTAGTATGTGGCTTGAAGATAGGAGCGCCTTCTCAACCTCATGGGTTTACTCCGGGTACTCCGGTTTCCTCCCACAGGAAAGACCTCTGCGCGTGCGCTAAGATAATAAAAATGAAAAATAAGACTTGTCTGCGATATCACCTTCGGTGGAAGCGGACGTTAAACACTAAGAACAACAGCAAGTCATGCTACCAATGTTGTTGTTCTTAGTGTTTAACCTGCGCTTCCCCCCAAGGTGATATCGAAGACAAATTGTCTATTTTCATTTTTATTACCTTAGCTAATCTATAATGGTTCAATATATTTACAGTTAATATTTTTTACTTATTAATACAAAATGGGACTCATCTTCACCCCATCATTATCACAAAATTTACAAAATCTGTTATTTCTAACAACACTATTGCATCTACTTCTATAAATAATTTATGGGCAGATAAACTGATTTTTGAAACGCAATTAGCAAATTTACATGGAAGGGATTTGGTCAAATAATATTGTAAGTTAAAATTAGGACCGACATGCTGGTAAAAGAGGCCTTTTGATGAATTACAAATAGGTTTTACACATAATTGTTTTAAAACATCTCAAACTCTATGCCTAATAGTTTTGAAATATGACGAGTTACGGGATATTCTCCACATACGTCGAGGAGTCTCCCTTTAATGATCAAAATATCGGATTTATGAATCATATTAAATTTAAATATTGTCATTGCAAAATTTGACAAATCACATACAAGCACAACACACTAAACTATGATAACATGAGAATACTCTGGGCAGAGACAATAATTGTCAGCGATACTTATCTAAATTGATTTCATTTATTTATTTCAAAACAATTACGTTACGCTGTCGATGACCGAAAATGACAATCGACACAATTTGCAATTATAAATAAATAAATATAGCTATAATATTAAAGTGTTTATTGCACTATATATATATATACCCTAATATGTTTCATGCATATAATTACTGTTTTAATAAACTATTAATCAATCACTAATTACAATACATTGCAACGAATTGCAACGAAAGTATCAACAAAAATCACATACACGAGTTATCTCTCATGAACCTCCGATTTGGGCACAAAGCAGTGAGACTTCTTAAATTCCAACTAAATTGTTATTTTGTGTTTCCATAGTTAACAGTTTTGGAGTTATTGGGTGTTGTTTTGGAGTTGTTGGGTACTTCGACGCGCCCTACGTTATCATAATCATGATGAATATCGTTGAAATGAATGACCGATAGTCTTTCAAATAAATACACCTACAGCGTCTTCATCAGGTCTGTGCGGAGTGATCAAAATAGTTATTCGTTATATTATAAAGTATTATGCATTTGAAATAAATTAGTTTTGTGTGAGGAATCGGGGATTTTCGAAGTGAATTCCGGTAAATTCCGGTGATTGTAAGTGAATTCCGGAGATTGTTTTGTTGGGGTATTTAAGCAAATCAAAACGCCTTGATTGAAGAAAAAACATATTTGAGTGAATCGACAGAGGTTAGATGTATTTTATTAATCGACATGTACTTTATTAAATTAACACAACAATATGTTACCAACCCATGTAGTTGGATTTTGTTTACGTCGCAGAATTATACTTCATGTAGTGGATTTTTTCATGCACAAACATAGGCGTACGGGCTGGATGACTGTTAGGGGGGCAGAACTTGAAGTGCCCGAAAAAATTTGGGTTAGCGCCCCCCCCCCCCCCCAAAAAAAAAAAATTGGGAAGACTTGACGACCGCAAACGCGTTTTCCAGCTATTCTAGCCTTCGAATACAGTAACTTCAATGTGGTCCAATATAGCCTACCAGGTGGCTGGCACGAATCCTAAACAAACAACCAATCGTTGCGTGATATGGGGGCCTCGCCCTCCTGGAGAACATTTTGAAAATGTAACCGCCGCAAATGCGTTTTCTGCTTTTCTTGCCCGTGAGATAAGCAACTCCAAAGTTGTCCAGTGGTTTCGTAACCGAAATCCAACTCAATGCCGACGTGAATT